ATATAACGCAGATCTATGGAAGTCTATGGAAAACCATTGAAACTTTGAACAGCCATATCTGCGTAAAGGCAAGGCGAATCGGCACCAAATTCGGGGGATCCCTTCAGCTCGAGGAACTCTCTTGAACACGGTGTACGTATCGAGGTCCTCTTTCGAATGAGACCACCCCCGCGTCGATAGCCCCCAGGGTTCGGGAGTTACTGGTGGTTAAATTCGCTGTCCGGCACCGACCGATCTAGAGATCCCGGGGGGCTACCGACGCGTGGAGGGTGGCGTTCGAGAGGGCTCCTTGAGCAGAAGGGATCCCCCGAATTTGGTGGAGATCCGCCGGCGCGTTCGCAAGATAGTGACACCAGCCAACACTTTTACTTCAGTAAGGAGGTCTCTTGTTCAGGCAGCAGCATTCAAGCGTTGGCTTATTCGACTGTAAGTGCCCTGCGAAGTGGACTTCACATGATATTCTGCCATGATTCCAGTTCCAAGGGAACGTACACATTACATTCAAAGGGCATTAAAGTACGCGAGACGTGAATTTATATTTATTTACAGAGGTATATTTTGTCACACTTCACACTTCTCTAGTAAGTTTCGTCTGTGAGTGAAGACAGTAGGCCTAGCGCAAATCCGTGAATGAATGTTCCAAAGTGAAAAACGTACAGTTCCCATTCAAAGGGCATTAAAGTACGCGAGACGTGAATTTATATTTATTTACAGAGGTATATTTTGTCACACTTCACACTTCTCTAGTAAGTTTCGTCTGTGAGTGAAGACAGTAGGCCTAGCGCAAATCCGTGAATGAATGTTCCAAAGTGAAATAAACTTCAACGGAATAAAGTTGAATGGAATTGAATTGAATTAAAGTTGAATAAACTTCAACTTTACTGTTCAGTGCACTGATGTCAGACTCATTTTGGATAATAAAGTTTATTGTTAAATTGTTAAATGCCCTGCCTCCATCATTACATACCTTTATAGGTCATTATAAGTGTCATTATCACATCATAATAAGTGTTTGATCACCACATTTGAGTGATCATTGTAAAAAATGTGTTTATGTACAGTGGGTACGGAAAGTATTCAGACCCCCTTAAATTTTTCACTCTTTGTTATATTTCAGCCATTTGCTAAAATCATTTAAGTTCATTTATTTTCCTCATTAATGCACACACAGCACCGCATATTGACAGAAAAACACAGAATTGTTGACATATAGTACCAGTCAAATGTTTGGACACACGAATGGGAAAGAGTCCAAACTTTTGACTGGTGCTGTACTATAATATACACATATAATATCGGCCGATATATCGATATTGGCCTTTTTTTTACTGCCCAATATCGGTATCGAAAGTGGCCCCCCCAAAAAAACATATCGGTCGGGCTCTTGTTCTGAGAGTTTGTGGAAGAAATTATTGAAAGCACTTCAGCTGCAGCATAGGAGGAGAGAGCCATTACAGCGATGACTCAGTGTGGAATTTAAATGACTCCCACTCAAGTGGCCTTCATACTAATGCAGATCATGGCGCAAATGTAATTCACATCAGCGTCTTCCAAATATTTAGCTAGCACTTTCTGTTGTCAGGATACCAGTAAATATTGAGCTATATGAGGGAGACTGATTATTTCAGAAGGGTGTATTTGATTGTTTGTTTGCACTAATAATGTGATCCTAATTTGTCAACACAGTACTATATATGTAATGAAGTGCAAATACTTAGTCACTGCACTTTTGCACAGATACTGCACAGATTTTTCTGGTATCAGTACTTTACTTCACTATTTATTTTTCTGAATACTTTTGACTTTCACTCCTTACAGTTTTACACAAATATCTGTACTTTTTACTTCTTACGTTTTCAAACCTGGCTCGTTACTTTAGTTTTAATCTGCATTTGGTGAATCACCTTTCGATAACAAATCTCGAATAAATCATGAATCGGTTAGTCTTTACTGGCAGCGCGATTCGGCTCGCGTGCGCGCCGCGTCTCCGCCAAAAGGTTTCTATCACAGTAATCAATGACAGTGACTTGAGAATGTAGTGGATCAGAGAGGCAAAACTACTGACCTGTTCAGGACTTCAAGTGCAGGTCAGTTTCGTTTGTAAATAGGCTACTGTAGTTTTGTCTTTGTTTACTTACAGTAGTTAAGCATTAAACTGCTAGCAACTCTTAGCAGTAGAAGCCAGAGGATTAATAATACTGTAAACTAAATTAAACTAAATTACTATCATCACTCAAAATACTGTATTCAAAATGCCATCATTATAACCTACTGTAAAGTTACAGTAGTAATTTAGCAAACAAATGTTATAAAATAATTTTGTAATGCATTTAGAGGGAGCTAGGGCAGATAACAATACAACCCTTACGAAAATTAAAACCAAAAACCACGGTTATAGTTAAACCATCATAACCACAAATTAACCATGGTTTTGCTACACTAACCATAGTCTATCCATGAAATTTGAAGTAAAACTATAGTTGTAAATTAAAACAGATTGTAGTCAATCAGCCAAAAAAACATTGTTACTATACTTTTACTGTAATAAACCATGGTTGATTAATTTATGCCATTTAGAAAATATAGTTTTGTTAAATCTAGAATTTAAGATAAAACAACAACACATGGTTATAATGTGATACTTTAAATTGAACTTAAAGTTATGTTATTGCAAACAGAATACAGAGGTGGTTGTTTTGCAACAAGGTGGAGACAGTTCTGTTCATAACAGTAGATGGCTGATGGGAAAAGTGACAGGTACAAGAAAATTAGTGAAAAAAAGAGGCACAGAGATAGAGATGTCATGGAAAATGAAGAGAATGAAAAGGAAAATGGAACTGAAGGTGCAGTTCAAGATGGAACCTTTATTATTATTATTATTAATAATATTATTTTGTTCGGCCCCAACCTAAGGTTTTAAACCTTTTTTTAAAAAATGTGATTGCCATACAAACAAATAGGGTTGTCCGTGGTTTCAGGATTTGTTGTGGGTGTATGGGATGGCCTGGATGAGTGTGATATTTCCTTGACTGAAATTTTGTCCCAGTCCTGCCCTGTTCTACATGGTGGTTGTTCAGCCTTGATACATTCATTAGCTAACAAAATTTTAAATGTAAGTTATTTTGTATTAATGTGTCAATATGATGTGAGGTCCAGTTCCCAGCGTGAAACTTAAACAGGTAGTAATGGGTACTTTTTACTTAAGTACATGTCAGAGCCCATACTTCCTTAATTTGAGAAAAAAAAGTGTATATATATTGATGTTAGTTGATGTTAGTAAAGTTGATTCTCTAACGAGTGAAAGTGATTCAAACGTTACAAATTGTTCCCATTTTCTCAATGTGATAATGGTGCACTTGGGAAATTCTCTTTGTTTGTTTATATGTGTTGACTGTGTCTCGAGATAAATAATCCATTTGATGGCCTCTTTTGTCTGGGAAGTTTATTATCATGGGCCACTTTGTATTAATTAAACAGATTTGCATATTCTTCATCTGTAATGAAGCACTCAGTTATTTTGAGACATCCCTGCGGTTCAAGGAAAAGTGTGTTGTGAACTGGTATGTTAAATTTCTGCTTAGAAGTTGGGATTTGGCAAATAGCAAGTTTGGGAATCGAGAACGGGTTTTTATTCAGCCCCATTAAAAAATACAGAAAAAACAATGACGTTCGGTTCTGATGTGAACAGTACACTGTACTGAATGAAAGTACGAAACATACAACGATGACTGTTATGAGCTGAATCTTTTTAATGAATCAAACATACATCCTCAATTTGGAACCACATTCAAACATACTACTCTTACTATTTCTGTCATAGAAATGTAAAAGTAGTAAGAGTCACATGCTAGTATGCAGCAACAGAGCGCCCAGTATAGTCCAACTCCCAATTAAATGCCTCTTGTGAGCTGGATCTTTTTAGTGAATCAAAAACATACAGAGCAAATTATCCTCATGAATTGGTTCTCCTTAGTTCATTATGCAGCTTAAACAATGTAGTCCAACCAATTCCCAAAAGAATGACTCTTTTAGTCAACCAATCACAAACTACAGTTTAGGATTGTGATTATCGGATTGCTTTTTAAACAGTGAGAAGTCATTTAAAAAGTCTGTGTATGCTCACCCCTTGTAAGAATTTGTTTTAAATATGTTTATTATAAAAAATTATCTCCTCATTGTTTCTTTTTGATGACAACAACAACACAAGATTTGAAATTATAGTGACTGAGATCATTTTGGTTCTTATAGCTGCAAATTTACTATCCACACAGACTTGGATCAGGTTATCTTATTCTGTGTAAGTGGAGCGCTGCTGCTGTATTGTTTGTCTTCTGCAGTAAGACATATGTGGGAGAACTGCAGCCGAAGAGCTCAGAGTTAAAATGCTGAAGTCTCCACATAACACTCTGACAGCTGCCAGAGATGAACAGGGCTTTCCTTAATACTCTAAAAATATCTCTAGCCACATCTCTTTATTTGTTTCTCCACAACACTGACCTGGCAAGAGCTAGCAGGGAGAAGAAGTAGGCCTATTGTTTAAATTAAAAAGGCATTAGTATTTATGATTGTTAGAGATGATTGATAGAAGAATAGATAGATAGATAGATAGATAGATAGATAGATAGATAGATAGATAGATAGATAGATAGATAGATAGATGCTTCATAATCAAAGCCATTCTGAATAAGTCTATGTAGTGAGTTTGAAATCATTCTGTAAATGAGGGGCAAGGATGATGCAAAAAACTGCAATTGTGATTTTGTGAGCTTCAGTTTCTGTAGCTACAACAATAATTCTTCCCAAGAGACGTTATGTGCTTCCTCTTCCCTGTGACATCACTTCCTGTTCCACTGAACTTCCCTTGAGGCTCATTCATGCAATACAATGGCTAATAGCTTGATTGTTTGTGTGTATTTATTATATAATATTTGTATATATTTGCTTTTCTGCTACTCTTTTGTTGCTGTTTTACCATCTTTTTCCCCGCTCTTTTTTCCCAGGTCATCTCTGACATGCCCACATTGTCTTAAGCAGAGCAACACGTTTGATCCTTTTCTGTGCATTTCCCTCCCTATTCCTCTTAGACAGACGAGGTGAGTACAGTTGTACCAAACTGAAGCCTTTTGAAGTCGTTGATTCATGCTAAAATGTAATTGTTTTTCTTGCTGTGGTTGTATTCTAACATTTTTGCCTCTCTGGACTCAAAAACAATGAAGCATTCAAACCAAAGGCAGCAGATGGATTGCCAGGGAAATCCTTTTTTTTGGAGGAAATGAACACCCTCACGTTCACAAATGCACAACTATTGTCCCACACATGCTATAATGTATAATATTTCTGTATATACATGTTTATATAAATCAGCTTTGCAATGATACATGGTAATACCGGTTATACTGGTTATGAGGGATGAAACTGGTATGAAATTGTATACTGGTTTGAAGGAAGTTTGAAACTTGTTTGACAAAAACAGTTCTTATATCAATATCCTAATGAATACAATAGGCTTAAATAATAAAGGGCACCTAAAGCGCATCTTATATGGCAATATTTACCTAAACATTCACCCAAATTGTCCAGGGTCTGTCAAGCTCCAAAAACACTGTAAATCATCTTAAAATAGTTAATAAGACTTATGCACTACAGTTCATATGATAACTTTGTGTGAAGAACAGACCAAAACTGAAGTCTTCTTCAATGAATATTAGCTTCAGTTTGAACATTCTGATATATTTTTCTCTTTTTGTGTTCCAAGAAATAAAGGGAGTCTCTTACAGGTTTCATGATGATACAATCTTCATTTTTGGTTGAACTATTCCTTTAGGACAGAACACATGACCAGTTAAAAGGAAAGTAAACTGTTTGAGGTGTGGCACTTTTTACTTTATTTCTTCCGGCAATTCATTCAGCGTTTACCCCAGTGCCACCCTTATTCACAGTAGTTTATGTCTGAGAAGGGTGTTTTCAAGCTTTAGGTCATATATCAGCAGGGTTGTAATAGTGGAGGAAAACTAGATGACAGCATAAATAATGGTACAGTAGTAGATGATGTCACTAAGGAGAAGATGGCATCACTTTAGCAAGAGCTATAAAGAGTTCAAAAAAAGAACAGACCAAAACTGAAGTCTTCTTCAATGAATATTAGCTTCAGTTTGAACATTCTGATATATTTTTCTCTTTTTGTGTTCCAAAGAAATAAAGGGAGTCTCTTACAGGTTTCATGATGATACAATCTTCATTTTTGGTTGAACTATTCCTTTAGGACAGAACACATGACCAGTTAAAAGGAAAGTAAACTGTTTGAGGTGTGGCACTTTTTACTTTATTTCTTCCGGCAATTCATTCAGCGTTTACCCCAGTGCCACCCTTATTCACAGTAGTTTATGTCTGAGAAGGGTGTTTTCAAGCTTTAGGTCATATATCAGCAGGGTTGTAATAGTGGAGGAAAACTAGATGACAGCATAAATAATGGTACAGTAGTAGATGATGTCACTAAGGAGAAGATGGCATCACTTTAGCAAGAGCTATAAAGAGTTCAAAAGTTTGGGGTCAGTAATATTTTTTAAAGAAATTACTACTTTTATTCAGCAAAATAGCTTTAATTAATCAAAAGTGACAGGAAAGACACTTATATTGTTACAAAAGATTTCTGTTTCAAGTAAATGCGGTTCGAGTCATGAAAAAAGAAAATGTTTTCAACATTCATAACAATAGGAAATGTTTTTGGAGCAGCAAATCAGCATATTTGAATGATTTCTGAAGGATCATGTGACACTGAAGACTGGAGTAATGACGCTGAAAATTCAGCTTTGTATCACAGCAACAAAACACAGAAATTGAAATCAGTTAGAAAGCAGTATAAGAGATGTATTTAAAAAACAATTGTACAGACTTTTGTACAAACCCAAACTTTTGAATGGTAGTGTATATTGTATGGTCAGAATACACAGATACGTAACTTAGTGACCAATCAGATTCATTCTTTAGCCACACCCACCTGCTTAAGCCACACCCACTCACTTTTGTAGCCCTTTACAGAGATTTCAAGATGCCCTTTATTGCTATCAGTAACATTTTAAATGTAAAAGCTGCTTTTAGATCATAAAGGATGCGTTTTCTTCTCTCTCTGCAGACCAGTGTGTGTGATTTTGGTGTTTAGCAGTAAAGGGCAGCGGTATCTGAGAGTGGGGCTCACTGTGCCTCTCTTTGGCTCTTTGGCATGTCTGCGCCGGATGGTGGCAGATGAGGGCAAGATCTCTCCTGATCAGGTGACAGGTGCACATAACATCACACAGACAGACCTCATGCCTGCACACAATATATCATCTGACCAAATCTCCTGCATTGCTACAGTGATAGTGTCAGATGGTAATAGTGTAGGACTTTGATATATGCCACGATCCCGAAAGATTATCATAATCATATGCTATGGTATTTGCATGGTATGTGGAAAAATCAGAGGATTATTTTATAGTTAAGTTATTATTTTAATGCCTAAAATGTAACCGCTATTATTGGTATCACTGGTAATAAATTTGAATTGATGAATTAATGAATTGATTGATAAGCTTGATAAATCAAATGTGAAATGTGTTTCAAATAAATGTAAATGCAATGTTAGCTCTATATTTAATAATAATAATAACTGCAATAATTGAGTGATTTTATTCCGTTTTTAATTCTCTGTTCTTCTAGGTAATATTGGCAGAGATCTACACAACAGGTTTCCAGCGCTCGTTCTTTGATGACGCTGACTTGACCAGCATAGCAGAGAGTGACATTATCTATGCCTTCCAAGCTCCGCCCCTTTACATCAGGGGTGGATCTGCACGAATCTCAGGTAAATGTAGCCAACTGTAGAGGATGTTTTTCAGGATTATAGGCACCTTTTAGGTTTTAATATAATCCCTATCCAAATATAAGAGTTGTGTTTCTGACTGAAATTGGGGGTATAGATTAATTTAACTACAAAACATGCAATTTTGGCTAAATTAGAGCATCGAATTTGAAGTATGCATTTTGCTTCCTTTATTCTGAAGTTCTTTAAAGGGATAGTTGACTCAAAAATGAAAATTCTGTCATCATTTACTCACCCTCAAGTTGTTCCAAACCTAATTTCGTTCTTCACAAAAGAAGATATGTTGAGAAATGTTAGTAACCGAACAGCTAATGCAGTCAAAGTAGCCATTGACTTCCATAAAAATGTTTTCCATTATATGAAAGTCAATAGCTACCGTCAACTGTTTGGTTGCCAACATTCTTGCCAAACAATGGTTACCAACATGATGACAAAATTTTCATTTTTGGGTAAACTATCCCTTTAATTCTGAATGAAGCACAACAACTCTGAAGTTCACAGTAGAGTCAGCACTACAGCTCTGATAACACGCTCTTTAAATGAAGCAATACTTTAACAGGGCATATCGATTATAAATGCATGTAGGGCTGCAACAAATTATTATTTTAAAAATAGGTTTATCTAATGATTATTACAATGATTAATAGATTATTAATGGACTTTTATGACTAATCGTCAATTATGGTAAGTTAATCATCAATTATTATTTAGTTTGCACTAAATAATAATTTATTATTATTTATAATTTATTATATTACACTCACTTGACATGAGTGTTTGCACTCTGACATGCTCTTATAAGCACTGTGTATATCTTCTTCTATTGGACTGCATACGGGAGGGCTGAATTACCGTCTCTACAGTGGAGATCTGTGGAGAGGAGAAGTGTTTAATTAACAATCTCACACTGTTACTTTTGAGTGATAACCTCAAACGGATTCAGTGGGGTTCATCGAGTGACAGGAAAGAAGAGAGACTGCATGAGCATAGCCACTTAAAGTCAGCTCAGGTCACACCTTCCTATTCTTCATTTTGAAAACCGTATATGAAAAGACCTTGAGACGGAATGCTGGGAAGCACAGCTGTCCAGCCATAAAAACGTCCCTTCTTGATTAAAAAGCCAGCCAGTCCTCCATCTGTCCCTGATGGCACATGTGACCTTCTAGTTGTAATATGTTCATAACGTGTAACAGTCTTGCTGATCGCCATCGTCAAGCTGATTTGCCATTAAACTTGAAGTCATAAGCCAGTGTTTATGCAAATGAGAGTGAATGATTGAAAGAAGCTTTGACAGATAGTAGCTAGACAGACTATGACATTCAGATCCAGAGAGAATTTATTATTTTTCTCATTATATACTAATAAACAGTTTTCAAAGTGCTTACCTGCATGACGTAATGTGTGCTTTACTGATGTGTTTGTTTCCTGTTTTTTAATTTACTGACATGAATATACACTACTGTTTTTAAAGTTTGCTGCTGGAGTATGATTTTTTTAAAGTCTCTCATTAAAGATGCATTTATTTGATCAAAATGCATTAAAAACAGTAAAATTGTGAACTATTATTGCAGTTTAAAGTAACTGTTTTCTATTTGAATATGTTTAAAAATGTAATTTATTTGTGTAATGGCAAAAGGTGAATTTTCAGCATCATCGCTCTAGTCCTCAAAGTCCCATGATTGAAAACAGTTGTGCTGCACTGCTGTAGAAACTGTGATAAATTTTTTCAGGAACTTTGAACAAAAAGCTCAAAAGAACAACATTTATTTGAAATAATGTTTTGTATTATAAATGTCTTTACAGTCACTTTTGATCAATTTAATGCACCCTCACTAACTGAAAGTATTAATTTAATTAAATATAAAATAAATAAAAAATGTTAACAGTAGTGTATGGTGTTGTCACGTTGCTGTGCTCTAAGGTGGTGCACGACGCAGGAGTAATCCAATAACAGTCTTTTATTATAATCCACAAAGCAAACACAAGGAATCGAGGAGCTGGGGTAGCACAACGTGTAGACCAAAATAATAACCGACCAGGACAGAACAGAAATGGGGAGAATTTATACAAGCGCAAGAGAGAGACTAATGGCATAATAGAATGAACACAGGTGAGCAGAATTAACTAATCAGGGCAACCAAGGAAAACTAGGGATGTGTCCGAAATCGCCCCCTATACCCTCATTCACTATTCCCTACATTAGGTCACTAATTCAGTTCACTAGAAGTAGTGAATGAAAACGAGTAGTGAATTCGGACACTGAGTGCACCGGAAGGAATGCCGTTTTTGCATAGTTTGTGCTGTTGCTGTTTATTAATCATTTGAAACTAGCATACTAGCAGCTCCAGTAGTAAGATTAAAGGATTTATCTTGAACTCTGTCACAGAAATTATGTATAAACCCTAATCAAACAATTTAATAATCAATTTACAATGAATTTATACCCGTGTTGTACATTATGCTGTACGCCATGGATGAGCGCTTTGTAAAAATAAACGGATTGATTATTCAACTGCGGGCGCCATCTTCTGGTGAGATGTGGGAATTCATTCGGTGCGTGACTCTCACGGTGCATTATGGGCATTCTCTAGCCGTTGAGCGTGCACCAGTTGTGCACTTGTTTTTGCAGTGCATTGTGGGATTGAATGAGTGCACTCGAGAACGTCCACTATGATTTCGGACACCACTAAAAATGGCTGTTCCCTCAAATAGTGCCCTATTTAAAGGTATAGGGGGCGATTTCGGACACAGCCCAAGTCACGGGGAGCGAAGCGAAACACAGTGGAAACACAGAACAGGCAGACATGTTATAGAAAAGTACAAAACTAAAGTTCATAACCCTGACAGGTGTATCATGGTACTGACATGGTACATATCCAACAATATGGTCCACAAATGCATGGAAGTTTTGGGTACTTTTTTGTTAGTAGATGTTTTTGTTTAGTAGTGCTTTTCATTTAAATTATTAAAGCTGTAAAGTGTTAAAAGTGCTAAATTAACTAAGTTAATAAACTGTCTCAATTTAATGTGCCGCGAAAACTTTCTCCAGAAAGTTTCATTATTATGCCTCTTTTTGCACACAACGATATTGGCTCAACCAATAGCAATAGAGTCTTGAGGCGGGACCACTTGTTTGTCCTTCAAAGTCATTTCAAAGTTCCAATTGTGTGTGTTGATGTTCAAAATGCAGAAATAACACACTTTTAATGCTGTCACCTTGAAGATACGAGGCTCTTCTGTCCCTGATAAATTCAACTGGGTGACTTTTGGAAAATAAATTATATACCAGTCTTTGGCCTTTTTTGGGTAGTTTGTTCTGGGTACTTAATTAATGGCTGCTGCCCAGTCATACTTTATTTGAAAGACAACATCTGAAAGCTTGACGTCCATTTAGTATGTATGTGTATGTGTGTGAAAGCTGGCATCAGATCATACACCCCACTGTGTTCAGTCTGCTGTCTGCTGTGCTCTATTTGCATGTCTCCATCTGTCTCTCTCTCTCTCTCTCTCTGTCACTCTCTTCCTCTCTTTATCCGTGCTTATGTCACCTTGTTTTGTCATACAATAAAATATGACATTATTTGGCTATATGGAGGCACAGACGATAAATCTGCCCACAGATTAGGCGTGTTAGGAGGTGACATCTACCTCTCCTTGGTTCCCTCTCATCCCAGGGTTGCACCACAGTCTTCCGTCCTCTCCATACACCTTGTCTGGGCCGGAGGGTCACCGACTGGCTGCGTCCGGAGCGCTGTCCTCCGAGTTCCTGAACCAGGCTGACGGGATGGTGAAGATCTTGTTGCTGGTGTGTAATACAGCCGGAGCAGGACAGCAGGCAGTAAGGTACCCTACAAAATAATTACTTTTTTGACTGGTAACCAAACAGCTGTAGGTTTGAACTTGATTTAGGGGTCTTCAGAGTTAAGAGTTCAGTATTCAGCAGTTTGGCCCACCCTGTGTGAACTTGTTAACTTTTACACAGTTTTTAAATTAATTTTAGTCTTAGTTTTTTTGTCTTTTGGTGAAAAAATCATTTAAACTCGGTCAATGTTTTGCCATGTCAAATTCATTCAAATTTGCCAAGTTTATTCAGACTAATATTTTAGTCAAAAGAAATAACATTTTAGTTGACAAGAACAAGCTAAATTAAACAAAATACTATCGTTTTTATCTATTAATTTAAGTCAAGTCACCTTTATTTATATAGCGCTTTTAACAATACAGATTGTGTCAAAGCAACTGAACAGCATTAATTAAGAAAATAGTGTGTCAATAATGCAAAATGACAATAGTAAACACTCATTTTTCAGTTAAAGACAGTTCATCATTCAATTCAGTGATGTCATCATCCAGCTCAGTTCAGTTTAAATAGTATCTTTGCAATCATTTAAACATGTATCAACTCCGGAAATAAAATTATAGTGAAACTATTGCCAATGTTGTGAAATCTTTGTTTTAGTTTTTTAGTTATTTGTGCGTGTTTCAGTATGTTGTTACAGAAAAAAACGTATTCACAACTCATTCTGACTAGGGTGTGATTTAGTTGAAGCTTTTTTTGTAATTTTGTGCAGCTATAAGATGTATATGTCATAGTTATGAACTTTTAGTTTAGTCCATTTCTGTTAGTTCCTTCCAGTTCCTGTTTTTCCTTATTTGGTTATGTTCCTGTTCTTGTTGGTTCATCATTGGTTAACCCCATTCACCTGTCTGCCCCTCGTTATTTGCCTTATTTAGTTCCCTCCTTAGTTCAGTTCTTTGTCTGGTGTCTTCCATGGTACCTTGTGTGTATTCCTGTCTTGGATAACCTGTCTTCGTGTGGATAATAATAAATACATGTTTATATTCCTTCATCTTCGTCGTTCGCTTGTCTTCTTACACACGAGAGTGTGACAGAACACCAGACCAAGAGAAAGTAAAGGGTCGTGTATCCCTGCGTTTATTTATTTTTATTTTTTCTTTTATTATTATGGATCCAGTGGATATACTTTGTTCTATTTATCAAAATGGCCGTCCCCTTGAGATATATGTAGTGGAGTTTCTTACCTACTGTCATCATGCTCCCTTAGACCAATGGACACTTATGGACTGTTTCTGGGGTGGTCTGGACGAGAGCATCACCCAACTAATGCCAGGGGGCTAGTCCAGGTGGACCCTGGCAGAATATATAGATTTGGCCCAGTTGCTTAGTGGATCCCCTCTCACCGTTGCCAACTCAGAATCATCACCCATCATGGCCGCCAGCCCAGAGCCCTGCCCACCATCACCCCGCTGCTTGGAGCAAAAGCCAGAGCCCACCGATGACAAAGAACCTGAGCCCGCCACGACCGACGAGCCATCGCATAATGGAGCGACAGAGCAGAGGATCGCCGTGGAGCCAGAGTGCAAAAGCCGGCTACAGAGCTTGCCACGGGGGAGAGCGCTATGGTCAGCAAGAGCGTGGAGGGAAGCTCCGCCCACCATAGCTGAGGGTGAGCTGAGCTCAGTGGACTGTGATTGGGATATTTATGTAGACATGCCCCCTCTTCTCCCGACTTCGTCTGAACTATATGTCTGCCATGAATTATCTGTCTGCCCGGAACTGACTATCTGTCCTGAAACGACCACAGAGGTCGTTCCCCTGTCACTGGCGCTCCCGGTGTTGGGAGTGGCCTTGTGGTGTGTGTGGGCAGCACACACTGTCCCTAATCCCCCTGAGCATCCTGAACTCCCGCCCAGCCTCCCTCTCCCACCACCTCTCTACCAGTCCTCACCATTGCCACCTCTGTCTCCTGACAGTCCCTCAGCTCACCATCTGTGCGGTGGGATCGCCGCGGGTCTGCCAGTCTCCATTGGCGTCATGGCTGGAGGATCCCTTGTCTCCACCTCCGGCCTCCGAGTCCTGGACTCCACCTCGGCCCTCCGACCCAGCGGCTCCACCATCACTCCTAGCTCCCTCCTCTCCACTGTGGCCCATCAGTCCACTGGCTCCACCAGGCTCCCTCGTCCCTCCGTCGTTGACCATCCGCCGCCTCGGTACTCCACTCCTCCGGCTACACCTCGTCGCTCTGTCAGGCCCCTCCTTCCCTCCGGCTCCACCTCAGTCCTCTGTCGCTCCGGCTCCACCACGGCCTTCCGGATCTACGCCTCCGCCTCAGTCGCCTGAGCCATCAGCTCCGCCTTGGCCCTCCGGATCCTCCCCATCGCCCTGGCTCTCCATCTCCGCCTCGGGCTCCTCCTCCACCTGCTCCGCCGCCGTCAGTCGGCCCCCTGGAGTCATCAGCCCTTCCTCCACCATGGCTCCTCCCTCCGTCGGCTCAACCGTGAGCCGCCATCATGGCTGTGGCCTGGGTCCTGCCTGGCTCCTCCTGCTCCCTCCTGGCTTCTTCCTGGCTCCTCCCTCCATCAGCTTCTCCCTGGACTTTGGTTGTTGTCCTCCTCCCGGGTGTCCGTCCTCCGCCGGAGCCTCCTCTTGTCTTGCCAGCCTGCCTTCCTGCCAGCCCTTTGCTATCCCCTGTCACCATCCCACATCGAGTCCTTTGTCCTCCTCCTAAGTCCCCCTCCGTCCCTCCCTTTGTTGTTCCTGCGGTGCGAGGTCACCTGTCTACCCGTCATTATTTGCCTTATTTAGTTCCCTCCTGAGTTCAGTTCTTTGTCTGGGGTCTTCCATGGTTCCTTGTGTGTATTCCTGTCTTGGATAACCTGTCTTCGTGTGGATAATAATAAATAAATGTTTATATTCCTTCGTCTTCGTCGTTCGCTTGTCGTCTTACACACGATAGTGTATAATTACTAGAGCTGTCAATTAAAATTTTTAATCTAATTAATTACATGATGTGTCAATTTAATTAATGGCAAATTACATAGAAAGAAACATTTTTTGATTCAACATAAAACTTATTACACATAAAGTGAAGTGAAGTGAAGTGACATGTGGCCAAGTATGGTGACCCATACTCGGAATTAGTGCTCGGCATTTACCCATCCAAAGTGCACACACACACAAACCGTGAACACACCCGGAGCAGTGGGCAGCCATATATGGAGCAGTTGGGGTTCGGTGCCTTGCTCAAGGGCACCTCAGTCGTGGTATTGAAGGTGGGAGAGAGCGCTGTACATTCACTCCCCCCACCTACAATCCCTGCCGGTACGAGACTCGAACTCACAACCTTTGGGTTATGAGTCCAACTCTCTAACCATTAGGCCACGACTTCCCCTAGATAGGGGAATACAGTAAATACAGTGGCCTAACATAAACCATGGAACATAGAAGGTGATTTGAGAAACATCTCAGATTTTTACGTTCATGCAATGGAAGTCATTGGTAACCAAAACAGCTTTGTTACCAACAGTCTTCAAAATACCTTCTTTTATGTTCCACAAAAGAACGTAAGTAATTCAGGTTTGAGTAAATGATGACATAATTTAAATTTTTTTTGGTGAACTATCCCTTTAAAGTTGTTGTTTTTTTCCCCATTTTTTAATGAAATAATACTCTAAATAAGAAACTAAATCTGCCAGCAGGTGGCCTGATTCATTCAGGAATGAAGTAAATGGCTGTCTTTATGAATGGGTCTTTGAATCATTGATTCATTCGCGCAGATTCATTCAGAAACTAAACACTGCTGCGTTGCTCACTAGGGGTGTGCAATACTGCAAATGTTGGTATCGATCCGATACCAACTAAATACAGGGCCAGTAAAGCCGATATTGATACCGATACCTTTTCCTTTTAAATACATACATTTAAATTAACAATTATACTTGAAAATTAACAATAACTAATGTTGATATGACAAAAATATTGTCTACATTCACCTTAAAGCTGTGTAGATTTTCTTTGCCGTTCTGAAAGGACTTTGCAAGCAAAGAAGCCCAGAATATGAAAGCAATGCGTACATTTTCATGTTAAGTATTTTCCTCCCACAGAAAAGAGTTATAAAGAAAAAAACGTGACGTGGCTTAATGCATTAAGAAAGTAATTTTAAAAGGCTAAACTCTGTATACATCTTTCTGATGATGCAAACTATATGCAGGCCAACAGCCTAGGATATGAACGCAAAGTGCAGGCATGTTAAGTGTTTTCCTCTGAAAACCATTATAAAGTAAACGAAAACATTTAACGTGGCTTAATGTTTGAAGACAGTGATACTGTATAAAAAGGCCAAATTCTGTAAATTTAATGGGTCTGGCTTGCAGTCTCACCCACTTCTAGCAATTTTTAGCTGTACAAAACAGCTCGTTTTGCAGCTTAATATTGCAAACCGGTGTTTCTTACCATATTATTTTAATGTATTGTCTTAATTATAAACACACAGCGTTGTAGCACAAACAATTTTACAGTTTATTGTACTTTGTTATTTTTCTCGTTATTTCCCTACCGTGCCTAATGAAGCGGAAGTCTCGCACATTCACAGAAAACAGCTTACTTCTGCATTGAAAAATAAGGTGGATAAGTTGGTGGTGTTACTACAGTAGAGAATTTCTACCGTTCCATCTCTCGCTGTAGCCAATAGTATCCACTTGCACTTGGCGCCGCTGAGTCACGTGATGGCATGACAACAAGACACTAAGGCAGGGGAGGAGCAACAATGTTTGCATACGAGATGTGAAAAGAGCGGCATATGCACGCACAGACATGTCTACTCTTTGCTGAATGAATTAAGCAATGTATTAAGTGTAGATGAGAGAAACTTAACCAAAAGTATCGATCTCATTAGGTTAGTATCGATCCGATACCAATACCAACGTTGGTATCGATATCGATATTAGGATCGATCCGCCCACCCCTATTGCTCATAGACTATTCTGCTGTGGCTTTATAGGTAATAATTGTTGCAAAACTGAGCATTATAACACAATATTAACTTCTTATTTACTGAACTGTTGTATAAAATCACATTTGCACTCGTGTCATATTGCTCTCGCTGCTCTTGTGATATCGCTTATATGATATAAATATGAGACAAAAACTCATACAGAAGCATTTTTGCCCCAATATCTTGGGCATAACTGCATTTATGGAGTTGCTGCCCTGCATCATATTTGTCATAAGACAACTGTATGAAATGTAAGATGACGTACAGGTTTTAATCGTGTTATTTTTTCATAACTAATTAATTAAGTTAACGCGTTAAACTTACAGCCCTAATAATTGCATTTATGTTGTGTATAAATTTCAGTTTACCGGCATTTAAGTGGGTTTGTTGCCGACTTTATTAACTCTGACTGGGTTATTTGAAAACGTTCTTCATAAACATATTCACACATGGTTCAGTATCTTGCATTGTTCTTTTTTCCTATCATAGTGTAAAAATATTGGAAAATATATTTATAATTTATATAAATAAAATATATTTATAATATATTATAAAGTCAAATAAAATTATATATTATAAAATATATGTATTTATATTTATATAAAACTGTTCAAAAGTTTGGGGACAGTAAGATATTTTTTGTTTTTTTACAAGTGTCTTATGCTCACCAAGGCTGCATTTATTTGATAAAAAATACAGTAAAAACAGTAATACTGTGAAATGTTAATAAAATGTAAAATCACTGTTTTCTATGTGAATATGTATTTACATGTAATTTGTTCCTGTGATGGCCAGTCTTCAGTGTTACATGATCCTTCAGAAATCCTTCTAATATGCTGATTTGAAGTTCAAGAACATTTATTATTATTATCAATGTTGAAAACAGTTGTGCTGCTTAATATTTCTGTGGAAACCATAATGCATTTTTAATCAGGATATTTTGAAGAACAGAAAGTAAACAAAAAACAGTATTTATTTGAAATTATTAAAGTCTGTACTGTCACTTTTGATCATTTTAATGCATCCTTGCTGAATAAACAGGAAAAAACTGGAGAAAAAAAACTGACTAGATTAACACTAGTATATGCAGATTAGCCAGTCATAAGTTTATTTACAAAAAAAAGTCTTAAAGGTTTCATTCCAAGGGTCACAGAGGGTGAAAATGGTCTGAACTAGCATCATAAGTGGACTTCAGAGGACAAAACATGCCACTTTATGCCACATAAAGCTGGCAAATATCAATCATGACAACTTTACCTCACCTTTTCTCTCTTGCTCTAAAAGCTTCTCAAAGATTCTCTGACGTTTGTCACGTCAGAGCGATCCTGGAGACACACAGTGACAGTGACAGTCGCTCAGAGATCAATACTCTCCTAAGTGTGAATGCCTCCAGAAATCTAATTTTATTCCATGGCCTTTGGTAATGTGAGTTTCTCTCTCACTTTAATGGAAGTGATAGAGAGAAGGTGAGAGAGTGAAGCTCAAAACATACGTTTATCTCTTACAGATGAGCTAGAGTGAGTACATGTCATTTTGAAAGCAGTGATATTTTGATTGATTTTGTCCAGATAATGATATTCCCATCACAGAGTTAGAGTGTGGAAAGGACTAGATTTGACATACAGCTGTAGTCATGAGTTCATTAACTGGGAATGTTTTTCATACAGAAACTTACACTGAGACTAGGCAGATGTCATAATAAGAGCGTGACCATATCTTAAACATTGGGGGAGGGAGCAAAGGAGATTTAAGGGCATTTAAGGGCCACATTCACAAATAAAAATTACAAAAGCACATAATTACTACATCTAAAATAAAAATTAAAACTGAAAATGTCAAAATAATAAATATAAATATAAAACAAATTTAAAAATAATAAGTATAATTGTATATAAATAATATTTAAAAATTCAACAACAAAAAACTTTTTGAAAGTATTAAGATCATTAAGAAACTGTTTTCTTATCAATGCAATTTACAGTTGGACACTTGTATAGACAGGAAGCACTGTAGTTCACATTAAAAAAACAAAACAAAGGACTTTGCTGTCATTTTAAGATCATCACAGGAGCAGGTATATTGCAGGAGAACAGCTTTTGATGTTCAGAGTGTGCAATATCAAACATAGTGGAAAAGTTCAGAAAGTCAACGAAGTGTTTCTCAATTGTGTCCACACTGGTTTAGTTTGCTGCTAGTTCCTGGTTGTAGGCTTATAGTAGCAATTTCAGCATGTCTATCTTTAAAGTCAACATAAAATCTAAATGTATCCTATTAAACTGATTGAATACATTTTCCTGGTTTTACTGTGCATGCTTTTTCAGTGTATGTTATTTCAAAGAATATATAAAAAACATTTGTCTTTGTAATGTTTATTTGATATGTGAAAACTTTCTCCCCTACTTCCATTTCTGACTTAACTTAGACCAAAAGGGGTTAAGTAATGTTCACCAAGATTAAATTAGCTATTTAGTCATTGTTTTGGGCTATTAAAATCTTGCCTATATGTAATGCAGTAATTTAATAACAATTACCATAGTGCAATAATAGCAAATAGTGATAGATTTGAAAAAAGAACCATTCATTTGAGACCAGATGCTCTCAAGGGTGAATTTGACCTCTCAAAACTGAAAACTCAAATCACCGCCTTATTGAAGTGAAATTGTTTCCAAATGCTGTTTTAGGATAATTTCTATCTAATGTCCAGAATGTGTTTAAACTGTGTGGCGTCAAGCATAGTGAACAGACAGGCACTTTATTGCTTTATAATTTGGTGAAAACCTCGCGTTGTTGCCCAGGGCGAGCTGTGACGTTAACAGCATCAAAGCATGTTTGTTCAGATCTCAGTTCTGTCTCTGCCTCCTGTCAGGGAAAACTGCACCGTTGTTTTTGGCTGAGGCGAAACTCCAACACAATTACGTGTTTATCACTTTCTGAAAGGCTCGCTTTCCCTCAGCTCACTTTTGTTTGTTTTGTCTCCTGTATTCATTCTGTACGGGTCCTGTAGCAGAAATCTGGCTAGAAACATAATCACTAGCCTCCTGCTGCAAAAAAACACAGTACACTAAAAAGGGTGGGGTGGATTTCAAGGGCACTGCTGAGGACACTGGGACATAGTGTCCAAACACAGGCAGTAATTTAACTGATAGTCATGCACATCAAAATGTGGCCTAATGTTTACATAGAAATCTCATGTGATTTCAGGTAGTGACTAACATCTCTGCAGTAGTGTATCTTTAACCTTTTTAGGCCGAGGAAGATAGAGATTGTGCAAGAGCCCCTGTTACATATTATATAAAACTGATTGCTGTTTTTTAAAATCTTGTCAATAATAATGTGACTTCTATTACATGTATCTGCATACTTTGATGCTAGCATTGCAAAGCTGTTTTATGTATTTTAAATATTTTAATGTGGGACGGACAATGAAACATTTAAAAAGAATTATCCTAAAGAATTATGTTTCAACTTTGTTTCTACCAGTGTATCTTTTAGACAAACATATTTAAAATGAGCATGTTAAAATATTGTCATTCATATCTTGTTACTATGTTATCTGTTTGACTGTATAAACACACACTAATCTGATGTCTGTTCACCTGTAGATTCGGTCCTCCATTTCTGATGAGAGAGGACAGGTCAGTTTCGTGGGACCAGCTACAGCAGAGCATCCTCAGTAAACTCTACTATCTAATGATCAATGGATCACAGGCACATGTAAGATCGACTGCCTATACTCATTTAGCTGATCTGAGCTGTAGATGCAAGAAAATACTAAACCTGTGCAAACTTTCAACAGCCCGCACCACTAAAACCATCACAATTCAAGTTTTTAAGGTTTCAAAGTAAAGTCTCTCACAAGATTCCATCACTTCCTCTAAAACATTTTCCTCTTTCCACTTGCATTCTTGTGGCCATTCCTGTTGCTTTTCCGCAGTTGATTGGTTCCCCCTGCTGGATGTTTGCAGACACACCAGCCAGAATAAAACAGTGTCAGTGCACATCCAGGGCCTTTCAGTAGGTGTCTGTGGACCCCTGTGGGTCCATGAAGGTACTACAGGTGGTCAGCGAACAAATATTCATTCATTCAGACAAAAGATTTTAAATAAATGAACTTTTGAACTGCTTATTCATCAAAGTTTCATGGTTTCCACAAAAATATTAAACAGCATGACTGTTTTCAACATTGATAGTTATACAAAATGTTTATTGAGCACCAATATCTGTTATTTCTGAAGGATCATGTGACACTGAAGACTGGAGTAATGATGCTGAAAATTCAGTTTTAATATCACAGGAATAAACTATAGTTTAACATATATTCAAGTAAAAAAGGCAGAATTTTAAATTGTAAAAACATTTCACAATATTACTGTTTTATTAGCAGTAAAATTCTTGGTGAGCATAACAAAACAAAAGTATACACAAACACATATATAGCCATTATTTAGCTTTATTAGTAGTGTTTGCTAAGGTAAGCATCACTATTATTATTTTATTGTTGCTTAGTTTTAAATATGTCAGTTTATATAATCTGACTTCACTTCTCTGTCTTGATATTTATAACTAGTTGACAATATCACAATGCCAGTATTGAAGCATTAGATTAATTGCACCTTCATGGCGTGAATCAAAAGTAACTGCGCAATGTTTTACACCTCTTTGGCCTTTTTCTACTAATGTGTCTATATATTTTTCATTAGAATTTCAGGGTGTTGTTCAAGATTCGTGTTGTTGGGGGATCTGCAGCTTATAGCTACTTAAATCCTCAAGACGGACGGCCGCTTTATCACCCTGCTGTGGACAGGTAATTTTGTGTGTGCGTGTGTGTGTGTGTGTGTGTGTGTGTGTGTGTGTGTGTTCATACAGACATGGATCAGAACAGAATATAAATTGCATCTTTCTCAGAGATGCCAGTAACAGCAATCCAGTTCAGAAGATGTTTTCTAACAAAAGAGGCTCTAAAATAAACAGTTCATATTTTTATATCACATTAAACAAACATTCAATTTAACTTTATTCATTATTCATAGCACCACTTAATAATGCATACTGTATTTACAAGTAAAGGCATCAGGGAAGCTACTGAATTTATGATAAAAAAATTTATCCTAAACATCAAAAGAAACCTCTGAGCTGCCGCCAACGTTTATCACCCTCATACATTTCTACAGCCCTCGAGGAGCATTATAAATCACACATGGTTAAATGATGTCCTCAGCCCTCCAAACCTTCAAATATTGTCAGCTGTGTCTTCAAAGATGACATTAATCTCATAATCATCTTAACGTCTTCTTGCACATCTTCCTGCTGAAATTCTCTTCATGATTCTCTTGTTCATATTCTAGATGTGCTGCAGTTACAGGTTAAATTTCAATAGCAATAATAGTACTTAATAATCTCACAACAGTGGTGTTTGCTAAGGCAGCTCATTACACACCTCTCTGAAATACTTGATTCTGATTGGTCAGTCGCAACATTCCGATATGTGTTATTGTGTTATTATATGTGTCATTAAAGTGCCCCTATTATGGGTTATGAAAGGTTCATATTTTGGTTTTGGGAGTCCCCAACATCAGGTTGACATGCATGCAAGGTCAAAAAACACTTTCATTGTCTTATAATATGCATTTATTTTTACCTTATTTGCTCAACGACTCCGAAACGATTCGTTTAACGATTCAATTTTGCGAAACCCCTCCAGCGTTTGTGAGCACAGTGCTGCTTTGTGTACAGCCGTTACTGGGGAAACCGCTATTTTTACCGCTCCAAAAGCGGCACCTACTGGCAAAGAATGAATTTGCATTATCATTCAGACCAACAAGTGGGCGGGCAATATGCTAATGTTTCATGTTGACGTCAACATGAAACGGCTTGGGATTCGTTTTAAAAATGACTTGTTTCAATGATTCAGAGTCGACTCTTTTTTTTGAGAGACAATAACTTTATACACGGTGCACTTTCAGATTTAAAACTTTGCAGGATGTTTTCATTCACTTAGAGCTGTGTTACACACTGCATGAAAGGTCATTTCCAAAAATCCATAATTAGGGCACTTTAACATACCGTTTATCTGGGTATTTAAGGCCGACGCTTCTTTAACATCTCTCATTTCACATCGCTGTGTTTTCTTGTGCCTCAGTTATCGACTGTATTTACTGTAAAATGAAACTGGAGGACTTCGGTGTTAAAGAGATAGTTCACCCAAAAATGAACTTTCTGTCATTAATTACTAAGGGTAGGAATCTTTCGGTACCTCACGATTCGATTCATATCGATTCTTGGGGTCACAATTCAATTAAATATCAATTCACGATTTTTCATCAAATTTTCTATGCACTCTGGATGTCAAACGCACCAGTATTCTGATTCAAAACACACCAGTCTATAGTATGGGTAGTTCTGACTCAAGAAATCAGTGTTTCCTGTTAACTATTAACTTCCTAATAAATCAAAAATATTTTACACTTCCCATTAGGGATGTGCCTGAATCCGAATACCGTGTTCGGAAAGGAAATGGTATATTTAAATTCTTTCTTTCGCAATTATATCGTTGGATAATTATACTGTATATAAACTGTGGGCATCAGGGAGCCATTACTAATATGCGGGGCGTGAAATCACTTTTGAATGCACACCCTCTTTTCACTTTCACTTTTCGAGATTCGTGGGTTTGGAATGACATAAGGGTGAGAAATTGATGACAAAATTTTAATTTTTGGATGAACTATCCCTTAACAGTCTTGTTGCCAGAACAATTGTTTTATACACTGTAATGGATTTAAGATAATAAACAGGTAAATTTGTAATGGTAAAAGAAGTTTCTTCTCAAATAACATTTCATGTCCTCGTCATAATTTTTTTGGTTAGAAGCTGTTTAATTAGTAATACGGCTGTATTCACATCTGTGTCTGTGTGTGTGTGTGTGTGTGTGTGTGTGTGTGAGAAGCTCTTTTAACACAATCCCTTTGGCTTGCTCTTTATCTCCTCAGAGCTCTAAAGCTGTGTGGCTCAGGTGGACCACCGCATGTGAAGCTCATTGTTGAGTGGGAGCACAGAATCAAAGACTGGTAATGCAATCTTTCACTTCCTTTTGAGTACGTGTGAAAATACAGAACATTCTATTCGTGCTTGGTTTTAAAGCACGTCAAGCCAACAAAGCAAGCGTGATGGTCCAATGACCTGGTGTTACTGTGTGCCTGTGTGCAGTCTGTTTGGTAATATCCAAGAGGAGGTGGTGAAGGACTCGGAAAGTGTTCGTGCTCAACAACAACACCACGTTCAACAGCAAAGCTGCACCCTGGATGAGTGCTTTGAGCTCTACACCAAAGAAGAACAAGTAACTCACACAAAAACACATATCGTTCTGAATATTAGCAGCTGAATGCCACAGGAAATCACAACCCAGCATAAAGGCGGCGTGAGTGTGAGGGCGATATTGCTTTTATGTAATGATATTCGATAAAAAATGCCAACGAATACTGAAACATTCCAGTCAAACTGTGCAGTTATAAGAAATGTCAAAAAAAATTTATATTATAAAATTTGTATAGTTTGAAATGTTTGTTAATTAATTAGAAGATGTATTATTATCATAAATTAAGATATTATTTTTTATATTTTTATTGTAATTAATTATAAGATATTATAATTGTGATATATTATTATTTTATTTATTTTTTATTAAAAATATAATTTTTATTATTTTAATACTTTTACATTTAATTTTAACATATTTTTTTATCATAATAAATAATATAATTAATTTAAAATAACTCTTGAGCTAGGCCATTAGCATATTTGTAGTTTATTTTAAAGATCATTTTACTAATTTGCTTTAGTTATTTTACTAAATGCTTTAGAGATTGCTTTAGCATTAATAGCCTTTTCCTTATGCATTTTACAAACATTTCTGTGACATTTCTTGGAAATCAGGAAATACAAGCATTGTTCTCCCCCGCTTTGTTCATAAACATAACCGTGTAAAGTTTTTCAACCAACTTTCATTATAAACATGCATAACAGTTGAGACCTGGAAATTTTCTGAAACGCAATATTGTGACATTCCCCTTTCATTCTGCAACAGTCACTCTCATGCAGCAGGTGTTTCCGTTTGAAAGAGGACAAATACAGGAAAATATTTTTAATGGCAGAAAAAATTTTGTTATTTATAGTACAATGGAATGGAATCAAGTCGTAAGAATTACGTGCAAATGATTCTTGAGGATTTTAAATCAGTATAACTTGCTTTCTGTGGATCACAAGAGGAAGGGATGTGTCCTGTTCTCCTTCATTAAAACATTTTGTGACCACTGGCTGTCAAGATCCAAAAGGACAAAAACGCTCAATAAAAGGGGTACTAAGAGATTGTGTACTATATTTTAAGCCTTCTATAGTCTTACAATAGCTTTGTGTGAAAAACAGACCAAAATTTAGGTAATTATTCACTGAAAATATTGCTTGGAAAGTTTGAATATATACATATATGAATTTGGGGTCAGTAGGGTTTTCTTGATTTTCCCCAAAAATATTAAGCAGCACAACTGTTTTCAACATTGATAATAATAAGAAATGTTTATTGAGCAGCAAATCAGCATATTAGTATGATTTCTGACTGATCATGTGACACTGAAGACTGGAGTAATGATGCTGAAAATTTAGCTTTGCCACCACAGGAATAAATTACATTTAAAACTATATTCAAATAGAAAACAGTTATTTCTGTTCTATATATGTTACTTTTTTAAAAATAAATAACAGTATTTTTTTTACTAATTGCAGCCTTGGTGAGACTTCTTTTGAATCGTAGGTTTAATGCAAATGAGATTTGGATAATATCATCATTTAAATATTTATATATATATATATATGTATATATATAAAACATTAAAAAAGTTCAGACTTTTTCTCTTTTTGAAAGTAATGAAGCTCTTTTCTGTTTATTTTCTTTAATTTAATTAATGCGAGTTATTAAAAAAAAGGCTATGTGATGAATTCAAATTTGTCAGGACCATTTATTTAGCACTCGCATAAAATTTCCTTGAGGTGAGATATGCTGATTTTTCATCCGTGTTTACTTAGCTGGCCCCTGATGATGCATGGAAGTGTCCTCACTGTAAGCAGCTACAGCAGGGCACGGTGCAGATGAGCCTGTGGACTCTCCCAGACATCCTCATCCTTCACCTCAAGCGCTTCAGACAGGTGGGAGAGTGCCGTAACAAGCTCTCCACGCTGGTGCAGTTCCCCCTCACTGGGCTCAATATGGGCCGCCACATGGTCAAGAGGAGCAACTGTGCCCGACCACCGCCCGGCTGGAAACAACAGGCCCATCACTGGCCTGAAGCCAACCGACACACGCTGACCTTCCTGTACGACCTGTACGCCGTGTGTAACCATCATGGAGGCATGCATGGAGGCCATTACACAGGTTTGTGAGCAAAGGAGAAATTTGAAATTGTGTACAGCCTAGTGCTGTCAAACGATTAATTGCGATTAATCGCATACAGACTAAAAGTATATGTATATATAATATATGTGTGTGTTCTGTGTACATTTATTTTGTTTATAAAAATACACACACATACAGTATATATTTTGAAAATATTTACATGTCTATATTTATATTTATATAATTTATATTATAAATAAATATATTTAATATTTAAACAACCTATTTTTCTGAAGTATATATACATGCATGTGTGTGTCTTTATATATACATAATATACACAGTACACGTACATATATTATGTAAACAAAAACTTTTGTTTTGGATGCGATTAATCACAATTAATCGTTTGAAGGCACTAGTACAGCCTTCCTGTAGCTTAAAGGGACGGTTCACCCAAAAATTTAAATTTGATGTTTATGTGCTTACCCCCAGGGCATCCAAGATGTAGGTTTCTTCAGTAGAACACAAACAAAGATTTTTAACTCAAACCGTTGCAGTCTGTCAGCCTTATAATGGAAGTGAATGGGAATCACGGCTTTGAGAGTAAAAAAAAAACATACACAAACAAAGCCAAATTAAACCCTGCAGCTCATGACAATACATTGATGTGTAAAGACACAAAACGATCGGTCTGTACAAGAAACTGGACAGTATTTATATCGTTTTTTACCTATGATTCACGCAATGTCCGAACTGTTCAAACTGTCCTGAGCGGCGGTGCGTCCTCCTGAGCGCATTCTCAACAGCAGGCGCGTGAGGCGTCTTCTTTTTCTTGCTTTACGGCGTATCGCAGACTTATAAGTGCATTACCGCCACCTATCTCTCAAATGGACCATTGACACTCCTAATTGAGATTGTAGATCGAGTGTCAATGGTCCATTTGAGAGAGAGTTCACCCAGAAATTAAAATTTGCTGTTAATTTACTCACTCTCAGGCCATCCGAGATGTAGGTGACTTTTTTCTTCAGTAGAACAGTAAGTCCTGGTGATTCATAAGATGCAAGGCAATGGCTACCGTCACTTTAAGAATAAAAAAAAAACATATACAGGCAAAACAAAAGAAATAACCCTGGCTCCTGATGACATATTGAGCTCTTATGAAGTGAAACGATTGGTCTGTGCAAGAATTATTTATAACTGAAATCATTAATTATTACTATAAATTATTACCTGAAATCCATAGCAGTTAACAGCAAATTTTCATTTTTGGGTAAACTATCCTTTTAAACAGTAGACCGTGTCACTAGCAATGGCAAGGTCATGGGTTCGATTCCCATGGAAAGCAAGAAATGATAAAATTGTGTACTTTTAATCCAATAGAGGTCATTTTTGATAAAAGGGTCTGCCAAATGCATGTATGTAAACAAATATGTTAACAATGATCCAATCTGTGCCTTTTAGGAAAAACAGATTAGAAAAAATGTCTCGGTTATGTATGGTAACCCTCGTTCCCTGAAGGGAACCAATCTACTTCGAGTGTAAACTAAACGAGCCAATGCACATTGGCATGCAATTATTGCATCCAGCTGCCGCTGATCACAGCGTGAGTATAATAAGGCAGCAGGTGCAATGCATACCAGGTTTTCGCTGAGGAGCCGAGCCGGCGACCCGGCCGCTCAGCGGTGGTACAGCAAACGTGGCGACGGGACGTGACGTCTTCGTTCCCTCCTTCAGGGAACGAGGGTTACCATACATAACTGAGACGTTCCCTTTCAGAGTCACGTCGGTGACCGACGAATTGGGATCCCTAACAAAGCGCCATGGTGCTGCCCCTTCCAGTGCCCTGTGCGAGCCGCCTGCACCCCTATCTGGTGTAGGCCGGGGCTCGGGACAAGTAGTTCCACTCACCATGCCCCCTTGCGAGTAGCAGAGCCTGGTTTGCAGCTCCGAGATGGTCATCTTCCCGCAATGAGAACATGACTCATCCACGAAGGCCACCTCAGCGTGCTTGTTGCCCAGACACGTGAGGCAGCGATCGTGACCATCACCCGGTGCCAGGTAACGACCGCACCCAGAAACGCACGGGTGAAATGGCATCCTTATAAGGACGATCCATCGTCTTTATAAAGACGCACCCGTGGAGCTCTTTTCGAGAAATTAGCTCTTTTAGGAAATGCTCTTTTAGTGCTGAGGCACACAGGGGAGATGGCCACTTGCAACACGACAGGGGGTAGTGCAGCCTGAAGTGCGCAACCCACTCGACACTGGAATGACCACCACTGAAGCGCCGTCTCGCCAACACAGAAAGCTTCCGAGAGCGTGCTGAACTCGTAGTACTCTAAATAAATATAGAGCAGAACGATGTTGTCGCTCGGCTCCGAAGCAAAAAGCTGGTATGCATTGCACCTGCTGCCTTATTATACTCACGCTGTGATCAGCGGCAGCTGGATGCAATAATTGCATGCCAATGTGCATTGGCTCGTTTAGTTTACACTCTAAGTAGATTGGTCTATCGTAGCGATATCCCAATTCGTCAATCACCGACGTGACTCGGAGTGACCAACTGAAAGGGAATTATACTTAACTGAAAGATAAATAAACTCTTTATAAATCTCAAGAGCTAAAACAGCAACAACAACAAAATCTAAGCAATAAAAATTAGGGATGCACTGATATTAAAATACAAAATAGCCAGTAATGATTTTCGTATGATTATTTGTCTATACCAGGCGTCCCCAAACTACGGCCCGCGGGCCGAATGCAGCCCGCCCCCCACATATTTTGAAAATGTAATTTTGAATGTATGCTTTACTTATATCATAATTGTATTTGATAATAGAGGTTGGCTTTCAAAGTAAAAGCGAGTTCTGAGTTACAGAAGTGTGTTGTTCTGAAAAGCCCAACGGTCTCATTGAATTCTATGCTGCCTATTCTAGCATTAGGAGGCATGATAAATACATATAAAATCGTAATAAAAGCTCCACAATAATACTAGTAGTCACTCCGGCCCATGTAATTTTCATAATTTACAATATGTACAATATGTATAATAATGTACAATATAATGTACAATATGATAATATTGTACATTATATAATGTACATTATGATACATATGTATAATGTACAATATGAAATGTACAATATGAAAAATTGATATTCATTTTGAGATATGCTAAAGACTATGTTTGACAGTACTATTAAATTATTAATGTTTTTAAAGATCAAATTTAAGCGCGCATTAGAGGATTGCAAAATGTATCTAAATGTAAAAATGAGCACGTACAATAAATATCCCATATCAGCTGATATTTATAAAAATTCATAACACTAATATCACTGATATCTGAAATGGTACAGATATATAATGCATCCTTTAAAAAAATCAGTTTAAGCCCCTCCACAGATCTCATGCATCCTTTATGATGAGGGTGTTGCACATGGTGGGATCTCGGCCGGATTTATGGGATTATAAATTGAAAATCCTTCTGAAATACGCCATCCATTCTAGATCCAGAGTGGACTCACATTTCAGTGAAATAATGACCCCAGATATTTCTCAGGGTTCTGCAGCAGCTATTTCAAGCAAGAAGCTTGCATCAGATTGTGTAAGGCAAAGCTCTGGTCACTTCTGTCCAATGGCAACCGAAGCACAAAGTTAAAAGGCGATGGGGAAAAAGGCGGCCAAGCGACATAAGGCAGATCATGATGTTCACCCAGGAGGAAAGAGGAAAATATTCCAGCCACATTTCTGCACAAGCTGATGGATATAACGGTTAGAATTTGCCAAATATTGCAGCCGTCAGGAAAGGAAACTTTGATGAAGCTGAATTAACTTCATACTTCAAAGTACAAACCGAAATACGAACTATTTTATGTGAGAATTACATGCTAAAGAATTACACTGCAAACCCTCTTTCTTAATTATTAATATCACTATGATAAACATCATAAGACTGAGAGTAGTTTGTTTTTCTTACCTCAGTGGCACACTGTCTATTCTAGTTTTTAAGCATTATAATCATGCTTATGCAATTTAATCTCATGCAAATTTGCTATGTAAAATTTATCTTGTTTAGATATTTTCATGGAAAGCAAGCAAAAAATAATGGTAATGATTAAATAAGATGTTTTGAATTTAATTAATTTTAAAATATTTAATTAAATATTTTTATATTTAATTACTTTTTAATATTTAATTTAATTTATCAATTTACCCCAGTGCAGACTTTTCACAAAATATAAAAACATACACACGTAAAATACATACACCCATTAAAAAAATAATAAAATAATGAAATTTCAACAATCTATTCAATATTATTCATTGCTCTATGTGCATATATATATATATATATATATATGCTGTCAACAAAAATGAAAATAATATTTTTGTCCTAATAATTCTTGCCCCCAGTGTAAGTATACTTGAGCATGAAGTATAGAGCATAGTGAAGATAATGAGTCTGTGTTTTGAGCAGCATACTGCAGGAATTCAGTGGATGGTCAGTGGTATGCCTACGATGACAGCAGTGTTGAGCCGGTGCCTGAGGGGGAAGTGTGCACACGTGGTGCTTATATCCTCTTCTATCAGAGACGAGATGCCATCCCATCCTGGTCAGCTAGCTGCTCGCTGCGAGGTGAATGCTCTTCTCTGCATCTCTGCCTTAATTGTATACCCACACTACCAAGGGCAAACAAGCAGAAAACATACTGAAGTTTGCATTATCAAGAGAATACAAGAATCTGCCACTGCAGTTGTGTTTAGTATATCATTTCAGCCTTTTTATGGTTTTCACTTTATACTAAAATAATTTATACTAAATTTATATTTTAGTATTTTTAGTATTATTTTTATATTTTATCATTTATATTTATATACTTTATACTAAAATATTATTAAAGTTTGACTTCCATTACTAGTATGTTCGCCATTGACTGCTTTTAAATTTTTTCTCAAAAGCTCCACTCCACTCCACAGAACATAGAAATGCTTTCATGTGTGCTATATCTTTATGGTTTTTATATTAACCTTATATTTAGAAATCTATGAAAATTTTGACAAATTTTGAAAATCTGTTATTGAATTTTTGCGTTTATTTAGGCGCAGAACATCTTTATGAGCACATCAAATTGGAGACTTTTCAGACGCATACTTCAACTTAATCACGATTAGTTTCAGAACAAATGTGTTATTAATTAGTTATTTTTTTAATCGATTGACAGCAGTAATTAATTTATTTACTTATTTATTTTTAATTGTTTTATATTTAATTTTATTTATTTTCCAAAAACTCCAATCCACATCAGTAGATCATTTCAGCCTGGTAGTAGTACTATTTTTTTTATGGTTTTCACAAACCATATATACATGTACATATATATCGTCTCTAGGTTACGTATGTAACCATGGTTCCCCGAGGGAACGAGACGCTGCGTCGAGACGCTTTGGGAACGCCCTTGCGTGACCGCGTTCTGAAGCACGTGTCAAATCCGTCCAATGGAGCAGCGAGACGTCACGAGCAGGGTGACGTAAGCACCAGAAAGCATAAAGGCACATCCGGCCGGGCGCAAACCAGCTTCGATGAAGTAGCGCCTGCAGGGATGCAGGGAGTATGGCAAAGAGACGCAGCGTCTCGTTCCCTCGGGGAACCATGGTTACATACGTTTTCTCTTTGTGGCAGAAATGTTTAGAGCTAATATTTCACAACATTAATGTTTTACTGCATTGATCAAGTAATAAGCATAATAAACTTCAAAAACATTTTTAAAAATATTACCAACCCCATACCTTTGAACACTAGTTTATATGCAGCCATGTCAAATGGCAAAGTCACATTCAACCTCTGGGTGGCTCCAAGAGCTTTTCTACACATGCAGCTCTCTTCACCTTCTCTATGAGAGCCATATCTTCAGAATCCAAATATAAACACAGAAATGACACAAATGAAATGATATGTATTCAGCACTAATCCAAAGTCTGCCTGATCACAGCATAGCCACAACGTAACCTTGCTGCTGGAACAAGAACAAAACATTTCCAGAAAGAACAAGGTGCTGATTAAGCACAGACATGGCTTTGAGCTGCTTGTCACAAGGGACTGGAGACACAAAATTTCACACATACTTGCATTTGTGGTTTACGGGGACTCTCCATAGGCGTAATGGTTTTTATACTGTACAAACTCTCGCCCTACACTTAAACCTACCCCTTACAGAAAACTACTGGCAATTTTTGAATTTCATAAAACACCGTTTTGTATGTTTTAAGACTTTTGTTTTACGGGGACACAGGAAGTGTCCTCATAAACCATGTTTACGTTGTAGTACCCATGTCATTATACACATTGGTGTCCTCATAAACCATATACAGTATACCAGTACACACACAATCTGACAAAGTTTTCTCACTTTCCCTTTATGCGCCTGCATCTCTGCTGCTGTTTGCCTTCCTGTTCAACCCCTTTCCCTCTCCACACCACTGAAGTTACATTATATACTTCAACAAATCTACACAATCATATCCCAAGTAACAAGATTAAAGTTATATAGCCTAAAGAAATTGTGATGACTGTATGTGTCCACTGAAGCAAGCTGAGCAGGCGTTTTCAATTCATTCTCTACGTGAGGTGAGCGGCAGGCTCACACATCAAAAAGTCGAGCAATTTTCAACTTTATGCAAATGAGAGGTAAAAGCGCTGCATGCCAGTGAGTAGATATGAGATGAATGCATTGACGTCTAAGCTTTTTTAAATCTGCCTGTAGTGCTGGTGCATTCAGTGCTTAGATGTCATTCTTCCATATTGCTAGATAAAATCAGATTTCAATGCGCTTTGCACACTTTCTCTGTAGCTAGGTTATGGCTGGGTTTAAAATGTTTGGCACAATTGTAGCAGCTTTGTACATGCTGTCGCGGGGTGAATAAGAACACAGACTCGGGACTGATAGAAAGAGCCCCGGAGGGTGATTTATTGCCCACACACTGATCACACGGGCTCGGAGGATTGGTGCTCGATGCCCGTCTCAACGTGGTGCTCGTGGGGTGAAGTGCCGTGGTGCAGAGAAGGAGAAACGAGCATTAATGTCTCCTGGAGCTCCAGTGTGCCTTCCCGCTGGTGTCTCTTCTCCTGGCTTTTATGGCCAGTGGGAACGAGCTCCAGGTGTGCCACTCATCACGCACAGGTGTTGTGCTTCTGTGATCAGTGTGGCAGCGGCGTTTCCAGGGCGACGCTGATCTGGAACCGGGATACTCGCCACATCCCCCCCTAGGCGTCGCCCTGGTCCTGTGGAGAAACACACAACTCGTTGTGGGGGTATTACGGGGGGGGATTTGAGGTTACCTGCCAGACCTGCCCAACCGGACCAGCCCCAGGAGAGAACGTCCGCATTCCCGTGATCGGCCCCGGCCCGATGTTGTACCTGGAAGCAGAAGTCCTGGAGTGCGAGGAACCACCGCGTCACCCGGGCATTCATGTCCTTCGCCCTGGATATCCACTGTAGTGGCGCATGGTCGGTGACGAGGGTGAACCGGCGGCCCCAGAGGTAGTATTTCAACTCCAGGACTGCCCACTTTATGGCCAGGGCCTCTTTCTCCAGCGTTGCGTACCTGGTCTCTGCGGGGGAGAGTTTCCTGCTGATGTAGACTATGGGGTGTTCCTCTCCATCCCGGAGCTGGGAGAGGACTGCCCCTAAACCGGTGCCGGAGGCGTCTGTATATAGGGTGAAGGGGCAGCCGAAGTCTGGGGTATGCAGGACCGGGGAGGACGTCAGAGCCATCTTGAGGGCCTGGAAGGTGGCTTCGGTCTCAAGAGTCCATTCTATCTTCTCCGGCTGCCCCTTCCTGGTAAGGTCTGACAGGGAGCAGGCTATAGAGGAGAAGTTAGGGATGAAACACTGGTAGTGGCCCGCCAACCCTAAAAAGGCCCATACCTGCATCTTGTTGGCGGGACGTGGGAACTTCTTTACGGCCTCGACCATCTTTTCCTGGGGCATGATGAGCCCCCTTCCAATCTTGTACCCCAGGTATTTTGCGTCGGTGAGGCTGAGGTGGCACTTCTTGGGGTTGGCAGTCAGGCCAGCTCGCCGGAACTGTCAACACCCTCCGTAGACGCTCCAGGTGAGTCTCCCAGCCCTCAGAGTATATAACGACATCGTCCAGGTAAGCCGCGGTGTAGGCTTGGTGGGGCCAGAGCAAGATGTCCATCAACCGCTGGAACGTGGCTGGTACCCAGTGTAGGCCGAAGGGTAGCACCCGGTAATGCCAGTGGCCATTGGGAGTGCTAAAGGCGGTCTTCTCCCGGGACTCCTGGGAGAGGGGCACCTGCCAATATCCTTTGGTGAGGTCCAAGGTGCTGATGTAACGAGCCTTGCCCAGCCGGTCCAAGAGCTCATCCACCCGTGGCATGGGATAGCCGTCGAAGGCGGAAACTTGATTGACCTTCCTGAAGTCGTTACAGAACCGGAGGGTGTTGTCCGGCTTTGGAACCATCACTATGGGGCTGGCCCAAGGGCTACGGGAGAGCTCGATAATTCCCAGTTGGAGCATCTTCTTGACTTCCTCCTCCGCCATGACCCAGGACATGAAGGGGGTACCCTGGTCAGTCAGGATTTCCTTTGAGATCCCGACTCGGCTGGCCAGCAGGAATAGTTCTCGGGCAATGTTCTTGGCGTTGCCCGCCCAAAGAGGAATGGCTTCCGGGTACCGGGTGGCATAGTCCAGGATAACCAGGATGTGCTCACGTCCCCGGGCAGACTTCGGCAGCGGTTCCACCAGATCCGCTCGAAGGGCACATCGATGACGGGCAGTGGAATGAGCGGGCTGGGGGGAGGACAACAAGGAGACGTCTGCTGGCAGGTGGGACAGCTACGGCAGAAACGTTTCACTTCCGCCTCTAGTCCGGGCCAGTGGAAACGGTCCCTGATACGTTGGACGGTATTTTTGGCCCCTAGGTGCCCCGCCATTGAGTGGCCATGTGCCAGCTCCATGACTGTCTCTGTCTTGGTGGTAGGGACGACCAGGAGGAATTTGTCCTCCCCCCGCCTGTGGGCGACAGTACAGCAGACCATTTCTTATTTCAAAATGAGGGAGGGGGTGTGGGCCCGGAAGCCTGTCTAACTCATCAACGCAGTGCACTTGATCCCAACAGTTTCGGAGGCGGTCGTCCTCGCGTTGCTCCCTTCCGAACGAGCCCCCGGTCATGACCTGTGAAAACACATCGAGGTAGACAGATGGAAGATTAGCGGGCTGACACTCACCCTCCCTCTCGCTGTCCGTCACTAGGTAGGCCGGCCTTGGGCTGGGCGGTCCCCGACGGGTTCGCCGTGGCCCGTTCGGGCGGTACAGCCTGGCATCCTGGGACCGAGGAGGAGCTTCTGGAACCCCGGCCAGTCCCGTCCCAGGAGCAGAGGTACGGGGAGATCTTGCACAATGCCCACCTCGATGGCCCAGTTCCCGGGCTCCGCTGAAATCCGAACCTTGCAGGCCGGCACATAGCGGGTGTCTCCATGCACACATGTCAGGGGCAACTTGGATTTCTGCTCGGGCTTTGGTCGTACCAGGGTAGGTTGCATGAGGCTGACTGAACTGCCGGAATCCAAGAAGGCCTGTACTGGTTTCCCCTCTAGCTTTACCATCCGGCTGGGGCCAGGGGAAAGTCCGTCCTGATGCAGGAAACACCCGGCCATCCAGGCTCGGGCTGTCGGTGCTGGGGGTTCTGTGGGCATTGGCTCATCCACAAAGTCGGGGACCGCCATTCTGCTGCCTGGTCGCGGTGCACCTTCGAGCGGACGCCGCTCCATTACCCTGCGTGGCGCTAGGCCCGCTCTCTCCCCTGCCCTGCTGGCGTTCGTCGCCGGATTTCGCATACTGACCGGGCGCCTCAGCGGGCGGGGCAGAGCCCGTAGCAGCTGATCGATGAGGACTTTCTCCGCTACCTGGTCAGCGGTAGGGGACCCCGTGAGAAGCCACAGGTGAGCCAATCGGGCCAGTTGCGCAGCTTGTGCGCTCACTGTCTGCCGTTCATCATAGGTCCATTGATAGAACTGTTGCGCAGCCCCCATGGGAGACAGGCCCACCCTGGCTAGGATTTTCAGCTTTGAGCTCGTCATATTTTTCATTCCGGGGTGCCCGCAGGGCATATTAGGCCCGCTGCGCTTCTCCGGTGAGGAAGGGGGCGATGATGCGAGCCCACTCTTCCTGGTCCCACCACTCCCGGGCCGCGATAACCTCAAACGTATAGAGGTAAGCCTCTATGTCGTCGTTCTCGGTCAACCAGACGAGGTATTGGTGCGCTTTGACCGGCACTTCCGGGAGGGGCAGGCGCCCCGCCACGCTGGCCTGCAGCTGTTCCACGACCCGGTCAGTATACTCCTGCCGGGCTGCCAGTCGTTCGGTAAACTGCTGCTGGCGAGCTGAGAGCTCCGTTAGGTGGCGGATGACCTCTTCCATGTGTCCGGGGGAAGAGAGCGGTTCTCCTAGAAGCACAGAAATCGTTACAGCAACCTGGCAGTACAAATCTCTGTCTCAATTCACCTGTAATGCCCACATTCTCCACTATATGTCGCGGGGTGAATGAGAACACAGACTCGGTACTGATAGAAAGACCCCCGGAGGGTGATTTATTGCCCACACACTGATCACACATGCTCGGAGGATTGGTGCTCGGTGCCCGTCTCAACGTGGTGCTCGTGGGGTGATGTGCCGTGGTGCAGATCCCTCTCCTGGGGTGCCATCGGAGTCTGTGAATAAGGAGAAACAAGCATTAATGTCGCCTGGAGCTCCAGTGTGCCTTCCCTCTGGTGTCTCTTCTCCTGGCTTTTATGGGCAGGGGGAACGAGCTCCAGGTGCGCCTCTCATCACGCACAGGTGTTGTGCTTCTTTGATCAGTGTGGCAGCGGCGTTTCCAGGGCGACGCTGATCTGGAACCAGGATACTCGCCACATTGCGTACATTTTACACGTCTTACAATGATTTGAGTGAGTTTCTTCTACACCAGTGGACACAAACACTACCATTCAAAAATTTTGGTTTATATGTTTTTGAAAGAAGTCTCTTATGCTGACCAAGGCTGCAATTGTTTAATCAAAAATACAGAAAAAAATTTAAAATTGTGAAATATTGTTTCAATCTAAAACAACTGTTTTCTATTTTAAAATATTTAAAATGTAATGTATTTCTGTGATGCAAAGCTGAATTTTCAGCATCATTGAGAACACAGACTCGGTACTGATAGAAAGACCCCCGGAGGGTGATTTATTGCCCACACACTGATCACACATGCTCGGAGGATTGGTGCTCGGTGCCCGTCTCAACGTGGTGCTCGTGGGGTGATGTGCCGTGGTGCAGATCCCTCTCCTGGGGTGCCATCGGAGTCTGTGAATAAGGAGAAACAAGCATTAATGTCACCTGGAGCTCCAGTGTGCCTTTCCTCTGGTGTCTCTTCTCCTGGCTTTTATGGGCAGGGGGAACGAGCTCCAGGTGCGCCTCTCATCACGCACAGGTGTTGTGCTTCTGTGATCAGTGTGGCAGCGGCGTTTCCAGGGCGACGCTGATCTGGAACCAGGATACTCGCCACATTGCGTACATTTTACACGTCTTACAATGATTTGAGTGAGTTTCTTCTACACCAGTGGACACAAACACTACCATTCAAAAATTTTGGTTTATATGTTTTTGAAAGAAGTCTCTTATGCTGACCAAGGCTGCAATTGTTTAATCAAAAATACAGAAAAAAATTTAAAATTGTGAAATATTGTTTCAATCTAAAACAACTGTTTTCTATTTTAAAATATTTAAAATGTAATGTATTTCTGTGATGCAAAGCTGAATTTTCAGCATCATTACTCCAGTCTTCAGTGTCACATGATCCTTCAGAAGTCATTCTAATATGATGATTTGTTATTATTATCAATGTCGAAAACGATTTTTGCTTCCTTATAACTTTTGTGGAAACCGTGATACATTATTCAGGATTCTTCAATGAATAGAAAGTTGAAAATAAATAGAAATTTTACATTATAATACAACATTGCTAATGTCTTTAATGTAAAAAAATTAATGCATCCTTGCTGAATGAAAGTATTTTTTATTTTTTTTTATTTTTTAAAGGTATTACTGACCCTAGATGTTTAAACAGTAGTATATGGTAAGAGTGTCAGCTTTGGTTGCAGAAACTAAGTGCACTTCACTAAATGGTACATGCAATTAAAATGAGTTTGAAATGTTGAAAGATATACATATTAAATAAGTAATATAGTTATAATGGAAGGATATATTTTCCATAGTGAAGCAAGGCACAATAAATGATTTGCTTATTTTGCTATATTTTTGTGCATGGCAATTTTTGTTCATGTTTCATGTTTTACTGTTTTTAATGATATACAGTATGACTATATATGAATCTTTTATTAAACTACATATTGATATTATCAGAGGTGCTGTAATTAGCCATGAAATGTCATGCAGCAGAGGCCTTAGGTTTCTCCATTGTGGTAGTAATTAAAATGGATCAGTTATCAGTAGCTCCCATTGACACACGATAGAAACGAGTTCTGTGAAGCCTGAGTTGAACTGAGTTTGAAATATTGTAAGCAGCTTCAAGCAACAGTTAAAAATAAAAAGATTCCACAAACGTGAACCTGACAGTTCAGTTAAGCGATCACCTTCAGTGTTCACTGCTGTGATTAGAGCAAAGTCACATAATTCACCTCCACATTAACGTGCCCCAGAGCATTTATGCATGAACCTTCAAAAACTTCTAAATATATCTGTTTGAAGCTGGTTATGTCCTTCGACACATTTTTCATTTTATTGTGATTTCTCAATCCTTACATATAATGTCAAGATTTTCAGCTTAAACCCACACATATACATTATGTGAGAGCTGTTGTCTGAGTCTGATCCAACACGCTGACCCCTTTTCCATAGCTGACTTTAGGGGGTTAGTTTCCCCAAGAAAATGAAAACTCTGTCATATCATTTCAAAACGACTTTCTGCAGGACACAAAACAAGATATTTTGAAGAAGATTGTGGTCAGAACAACACTGGACCCCACTGACTTTCTTTGTGTGGATTGAGACACTGAGACATTTCAAAATACCTTTTATTTTATTTTATTTTGTTTTGTTTCACAGAAGAAAGTCATATAGGCTTGAATGACATGAGGGTGATTAAATGATGACAGAATTGCCCTGTTTTTTTTTTTATTAATACTTTTTATTTAAGGATGCATTAAAGTGACAGTAAAGACATTACATGTAACAAAATAATGCAGTTTCAAATAAATACTGTTCTTTTCAACTTTTATTAAGATAAATTAATGTTTTACTACATTTATTAAAGAATCCTGAAAAACACAATTTATCACAGTTTCCACAAAATATTAAGCAGAACAGCATAATAATAATAATAACAAATGTTTCTTGAGCAGCAAATCAGCATATTAGAAGGATTTCTGAAGGATCATGTTACACTGAAGACTGGAGTAATGATGCTGCAAATTTTACTATATTTGTGATTAAATGAATGCAGCCTTGATGAGCGTATTTCTGTTTTACAATTGATGAAAGTAATATGTGACCTGCTCCATGATTTTAAATCATTTTGACTCAAGTTGTTTTGCACACTGAATGGAAAAAGTTAAGTATCTGCCTTTCAAGTGATATAATTATGTTTAAGTAATGATAAAAAAATTTTAAGTGCAAATGTTTTCAGTTTTTTTTATATACTGAATTAGGAGTTTTGTTTAAATAAATATACATTACATAATCACTGACAGGTTAAGGAAAACTGGTAACACTTTACAATAAGGTTTAATTTATAGTTAACTACATTAGTCAACTTATACTAACAATGAAAAATACTTCTAAAGCATTTAGTAATCTCAGTTAATGGTAATTTCAACATTTACTCATACATTATTTCAAAATCATTATTTCATTATCTGTTAATATTAAGTAATTGACCTGATCTAACAATCAGGTATTGTATTTTTATTAACTCACATTAACAAAGATTAAGAAATACTTTAGCAAATGTATTGTTCATTGTTATTTAATGTTAGTTAATGCATTAACTAAAGTTAACTAATGGGACCTTATTGTACAAGTGTTACCAGAAAATGTAACTTATTTATAAAATAGTACATATATTTAGCAATATAAGGTAACACTTTATTGTAAGGTGTCCTTGTTACACGTTACATGTACTTACTATTATAATAACAATAAATTATGCATAATTACATGCAAGTAACCCTAAACCAAACCCTAATCCTAACCTTAACCATATAGTAAGTACATGTAGTTAATTAATATTGCTCAGTACTTAAATATATAATTACACTGTAACAAGGATACCTTAACGTAAAGTGTAGCTCAATATATTTACAATTTTACAATACTTACAACAAAACAACATTTATTGTTTGAATTTAGCAATAAAATGTGAAGTAAATAATAAGAAATATAATTTTAATAAATTAAAAATAATAAATAATACAAAATTATAATTTTATGAAAAAGTAAGTCAAATGTAATGCGAGCGGCCCAAAATCGCAATGGGTTGTTTGTGGAGAAATTCTGTTATTATTTATAAAATTCATTGGAAGGTCTCAGATTTCAAATTAATTTTATTTCCAATTTAATGGATAAATTCAAACAATAAATGTTGTTTTATTGTTAAATACAGTGGAGATCAAAATTAGAGAACAGTCTACAAATACTTGATTTTTTTTCTAAAATATTGTTAATCAAAATTTGAATGTATATTATATGTTGGTATACCACTGTTCTACTAACATGTTTGACAAAATAACCAAGGCATTTTAACAAAAGCCTTTATTTTTGTGGAAAACACAGTGATCAAAATTAGAGAACGGTAACCACTGTAGCATGAAAGAAGATTACAACAAAAATTTTGGAGGGTCTGCTGTCAGAAATGAGGAATTGTAGAGGCCCTTGCTTTGAATGACTTCAGCACACCTGCGGCCGCAGGACATCACCAGTTTCTCAGACTGCTTGTGTGATCTTGTCCACACTTCTTCCAGTGTCTTCCATAGTTCGGTGACTGTAGTGGGTTTCTTAGTCATAACTTGGTCATCAGGGATTTTCCAGATATTTTTTGTCATTATTTCGATGTTCTTAGCTTCATGGAACTGCTTTACCTGTTTTGGTGTGTGACAGGGTCATTGTCCTGCATGAAAATTGCTGGCTGATTGGGAGATGCTTGCAGAGAAGGTACTGCATGTTGCTGAAGGAGTTTCTGATAAACAGTTGGATTCACTCTGTCATGTAGCTGTTTGAGAGTCCCAACACCTGCTGCAGAAAAACATCCCCAAACCATGACACTTCCTGCTCCAACTTTCACTGATTTATTTTCGCACTTGGGCTTCAGTCTTTCCCCAGTTTGACACCGAACAAAATGTTTCCCATCGGACCCAAATTAATTAAACTTGCTCACTAAAGTGAACAAAGGTTAGTCTAGCCTTTTGATTCTTTCTGCTGATGAGAGGCTTGGTCAATGCAGAGTGCACTTTCAGTCTGATTTGTCTTAAATGTGTTGAGACAAATCCTTACCCTGTTCAGCACTGAACTGACAAGCAATTCCAGCTGCAGTGTTGAACCGATTCCCTACTGAGAGTCCCCGCATTAGCCTGTCTTCTCGTGCATTTGTCTTACATGGTCAACCAGCCTCCTTGGGGTACTTGAATGAATTAGTGTCAATAGCCCCTTTCACATATATAGTCTTTACTGGATAATTACCTGTAAATTACCATTAAGAGATAATGTGTGAACAGGCCCTTTTAAAAATATCGGTAACTTCATCCTGGCAATTTACCAGTATGAGAAATAGTAACATTACAAGTAAATGACGCTGTGTGTGAACGCAGAATGAAAATTACTGGTTTGAGCACGTACGAGTTCAGAATGTGCTGACGTATGATGTCTACTTCGGGCCAATCCAGAGCCGTTGAAATTCAAACTTCAATGGCTCTGGGCCAATAACATTCTGACGCAGATGACGCATTTACTCCACGCTGTGTAGTTTAGTTTGAATTCATCTAATATGATGTCTCTGGGCCAAAAGAAGCTGCATGAATGTGAATGTCTGACACAAAAATGAAAACATCAGCAAAAACACTGATCGCGTATACCCCTCCATGCTTACAAACACAACACCGGAAGTCGCAGCTGTTAAGAGGTCTTTTCTGATTAATGATGTCACAGAATTTACCGGTAGTTTGAAACCGATGTGTGAATGGTGCGTTACCAGTAAAAAGACAGAATGCTATTACCTGTGTGAACAGCGCATTTTTGAATTTAACTGTAAAGTCGTTCCAGTAATTTTACTGGTATTACTGTGCAAAAGGGGCTATTGTAAAGCTGCAATATTCGAGAAATCACTGTTTTGGAATGACGAATGTATCTTGCAGTGGCTGAAAGGGTCATCATTTTGGCCTTCATCTGGACAAACTCCTGTCGCAGGGTTTCAGTCACCTTAGAGTGGCCCGCCATCTCAGAATACAATTAATTTATAAAATATGCTTAAAAACTGCCCTTCTACTCCTGTTAAGTTGTTAACTTGAAATAGGATTAAGCAGTGACCTTTAAATTTAGGACATTGTAGGTTGTTCTCTAATTTTGTTCTCCATTGTATATTGTCAGATATATGTATTATATTGTAAATTTTCTGGTAACACTTGTACAATAAGGTCCCATTAGTTAACTAAGATAATGCATTAACTAACATTAAATAACAATGAACAGTACATTTGTTACAGTATTCCATAATCTTTGTTAAGTCCTCCATTTTTTGCTTTTAGATGTAGTTGAGCCGACGCCATTTGTACGAAGCGTCCGGGGCCACAGTATGAGTATGCGCTACCACTCCAAATCCAAGACGGGCCCAAGCAAAGTTCTTCCACTGCGCTGGTCATTTGCTTCCAAGGACCGCAGAAAGCCCTCCAGCGTCGCTCCACAACCCGGAAACGGCGAGCTGGTGGAGTACCTTGAGTCCGGCCGGTGCAAAAGGGGCTATTGTAAAGCTGCAATATTCGAGAAATCACTGTTTTGGAATGACGAATGTATCTTGCAGTGGCTGAAAGGGTCATCATTTTGGCCTTCATCTGGACAAACTCCTGTCGCAGGGTTTCAGTCACCTTAGAGTGGCCCGCCATCTCAGAATACAATTAATTTATAAAATATGCTTAAAAACTGCCCTTCTACTCCTGTTAGGATAACTTGAAATAGGATTAAGCAGTGACCTTTAAATTTAGGACATTGTAGGTTGTTCTCTAATTTTGTTCTCCATTGTATATTGTCAGATATATGTATTATATTGTAAATTTTCTGGTAACACTTGTACAATAAGGTCCCATTAGTTAACTAAGATAATGCATTAACTAACATTAAATAACCATGAACAGTACATTTGTTACAGTATTCCATAATCTTTGTTAAGTCCTCCATTTTTTGCTTTTAGATGTAGTTGAGCCGACGCCATTTGTACGAAGCGTCCGGGGCCACAGTATGAGTATGCGCTACCACTCCAAATCCAAGACGGGCCCAAGCAAAGTTCTTCCACTGCGCTGGTCATTTGCTTCCAAGGACCGCAGAAAGCCCTCCAGCGTCGCTCCACAACCCGGAAACGGCGAGCTGGTGGAGTACCTTGAGTCCGGCCGGCGGCCTCGATGCACCAAGGAGCCAATAGTAAGTATCGTGGCTAGTCCTTCACAGATCAAAGCCCAGATTCGCGAGGACGATTCTCTGAGTTCCCCAAGCTGTAGCAGTAGTGTGGAGCGATGTAGCTATCAAGGTCCAGATTCCCCCAGACTGCCCGAAGGCCAGAGCAGACCAGCAGCGGACCTCAACGGCATCACATCCGATGGCTCGTTGGCCAAAAACAGTTCAAAAAGCAGGCAGGACCACGAAAGGACTCAAGCCAGTAAGTCGCTTCAAGGTTCCCCTTGTGCACTTTCCAATGGTACTGGCAACAGTGCATCTTATTCCAGAGACTCCACGTTAAAACGGCTACGAAACCAGCCGGCTGCGACTAACAGGACTCATCCCAGCCAGATGCAGACAGCCACAGGGGAAAGCAGGAGCAAAGATGGCGCCATCATCAGTACCACCCAATTGCAGGATAAGGAGGTGGTTCACGGGAAAACGTTTTCCAGCAAGAGCTTGACCAAACTGTCACTATCCAACGGGACTCTAAATGGAAAGGGCATTGAGGTGAGGAAAACCAGCACTGCTCACAAGAGCACCAGTAATGCACTTAATAGCAGAGAAAACCAGGTTTGTTCAAGCTCAGCTGATATAAAACGAGCCCACAGCTCATCCAATATTCAGAGCAGGCTAGATATGACTTTGAAAAGGACAATGTCTCTCCAAAGAAACGGTCCATTGGTGCCGGCCCCCCATAAAGGACCTGCGGTAGATAAATCCTCCTATGCAACACTACAGAAAATCAGATACAGAAGCACTTCACTTGGCAGACAGAGACCTGTGCCCGAGTCCTGCTTCTGATGGGTTTCATCTTCACTGTGGGAAATAGTGTTTGTACTGTATATATGTTTCATGCCTAATATTGCATACTGTTGCTCTTTTCCAAAACCTAGTGAGCATTGAAAAGCATTTTATGCACGTTTCCAACACAAAGCCTGGTCGAAATGGCTTAAAACGCCTCGTTTTCACCAAAGGCAGCAGGTAGTCTTTAAAGAGATTGCAGTTCTATAATGCATTGCAAAAAATTCAGTGAACAAATCCAAGACGACGAGAGAAAATGTTCATTATAAATGTGTATATAAAATTATTTAATAATGAAAATGTTTTTGTTTGTTTAAAGTTAAAAAAACAATGAAAAGTCACTATATAGACTACCGTTCAAAAGTTTCGGGTTGGTAAGATTTTTTTTTGAAAGAAACCTCTTATGTATTTCATCAAATCAGTAATCCTTCAGAATTAATTCTATGCTGATTTGTTGCTCATGAAGCATTTCTTCTTATCAATGTTGATCCATTTAATGCATCTTTGCTGAATAAAAGCATTAATTTCTTTCAATAACAAAAAATCATACTCACCCCAAATATTCAAACAGTATTGAATGTTTCTTTAACTATGTGCTCTTTTGACCTTGTGGACTTTTAGAAAATAACACTTAATTAATCCATTTACAAGGTCTTTTTTTGTTTTCTGAAAAATGTAATGTTTCCACCAGACTGTCATTTCCAGCACATCTCAAATTACGTATTATGTTTAATGACATGGATGGGAAGGACATTTTGACATTTGGAATAAAAAAACACTCTTGTTTTGCCAAGCCTAAATTTGTAGCACACACTTTTTGGATAATTTGACAAAATTACAGCTCTATCGGACATTGGGCACAGAAACAAAATCATTCTGCTCACAAGTGATGTTTACCTTGTTTTTGCACATCTCATTTCACCTCAAGCTCTTCACTGACACTGTTGTCCCCTTAGTAACCAAGTACACAAATGTTTGATTAAAAAATAGGCAAAATTGATGTAGTTGAAGTGTCATCACAAATATGGGACAGTTGTAGCTTTTGAAAAACTGATACAGTATATTTTCACACAGTAATTATAGACATACTGTAAATGACATTAGCAAAAGAAAAATGCTTCTGAGTCAGTTATATTGGGACTGTCATATAACAAAAAAGCTATTGAAAATCAACCCCTGGGACATAAAAGTGCTGAAGTTGAAGAGAAAATTAAATATAGTATTGAAGATCCTCTTGTTTCATATTAAAAATGATTACAAATTTAATATTTGTATGACAGCTTCTGCATATATAGAGCTTCTATATATCTATATATTTTATCTATATATATTTTATGACATTATAATTTACCTAGGATGCTGCCTTAGAAGGTAGCTACTGTACCTATGTAGGGTGTAGGCACTATGGCTGCTCACTAGGTTTTGGATCAGAGCTTGTGTTTCCCCTCTCAAATCTGACTTTCTGTATCATAACTTTCTATTGTTGGTATAAACAATATTTAACTTGCATATCTCAAAGCCTGTTCTTAAATCTCCATTTATACCTGCAGATACAGTATGTAGCATCACACGCTAGTGGCTGGATTTAGCAGTAATGATACAGTAGGATCTGCTTAAATGTCAGAATTGAGGTCTGCTTTTATGTGTTTAGTGAACTGTCATGTATATTTATGCAAGTGCCTTTTTGTAATGATCTCAGGAGAGCGGCGGTCATTGGAACAGAGTGTTTTTTTTTGTTTTGTTTTTTACTTATGAATATACATGTGCACACCTCACCACAGATGAAATAAATCCACAGACGGCACAAACATTTATTCATCTCACTCCCAGAATATTCCAAACGACTCTAAATGTTTCACATCAACGTGTACCTTGTTCATTGCTGGATTCACTAGTTTTATGAGCACATTTAAGCATCAGCTGGAAATCGAGCATATAATTGCAAAAAAGTATCAAGATGCCGATGTTGAAAAATAGCAATATCTTCAACATTTTTTTCAATTAAATTGTAAAGTGAAGGTAAACTGAGGCATTAAAAGGGGCAGTAAATTTGAGCAAGATCAAACAAATAATAAAAATAGTAAAGAATAAAATTATAAAATATTAGGGTAAGCAGTTGTTTGAAAAGTTTTGATAATATGAAGCATGTCATATTCTTAAGTTAGGAAATTTGAATCCGGACATAGTTTTTTTATGAAATGAATGATACCTCAAATTGTGCGGCTTGTTGAGCTGGGCTGTGTTTCCCGTACATCGAAGTAACTCGCTAATTAACTACCATAGTATGATGCATCATTGGAGAAACTAACCAGTCGCTCGCGACTGTACCCGTAATAACATGCTCACACCTCCGTCATCTGAACCACATTCACTTAAGATTATTAATGTCACACACAGTGTGGTGCATTCACACCATGTTGTAATTACCAGAATTATGAGATTCTGACTTTTAAAATGCATTCACATCCTTGTAAAACTTGTAATTACAACTTGTAAACTGGGAATTTTCTCAGAGCTGCGAATCTACGACTTGTGTCACGTGACCACTTTACTGCCGCAGATTCATTTAGGCGCTCTGTTTAAGCGTTGATACAAACGCATAATAGACCTTTTTCACATTTCCGGGTTTCTCGGCAGCGGAAGTCGTCATAGTTGGGTAAACTTCGAGAGCAGTGAATGGAAGAGTACAACAAAAATATTTTTTGCATTCCCATTTGCTCAAATAGCAAAAGAAAAACTCCACGATAGTGTTTTCACGACTTTCAATCAAAGGAAAAAAATTGAAAAAGAATGATAACGGCAGTCAGAAGAGAGAACGATGTCAAATTTACCGTCCCCTCCCATAGACGATGCATTAGAAACACCCTCACATTAGTGTTAACTAGTTTTTTTCCTAATTTGATGCAAAGGTGATATACCGTAATATAAACTATAGTTTTATAAATTTACATACATTTTTTATTTATTTTTTTAAATCCAAATATAAAAAACTTTTGAGGATTTATGATGCTGTTGACCATTGAAACCATCATCACATTCTTGTGAAAAGGGTCCATTGACCCTTCGCAGGGAGTTTGATTGACAGGCGATCTGACCAGTCATAACGCTGAATCTGCCATTTTTGTCCGACAAACAAACCAGACAGGAGAGTAGGTTCACGTCAGTGCACTTGAACTTGACAAATGGCATATATTGGCATCTTTCTGTGGTTAAAACAAGATGCCTTCTGATGTTCATTAATGTTTATTTCACGCTATATCTAGTAAAGAGGAAGAGATGATTGCTTCACGTGCTGCTTGAACTAAGGCACTACAAAATTTGAAAGCTTAAATTTTGTTTCATACCTGCTCTGCCTTGTTTGTCGGCGTGTTGCCAGTTTGCTCTTTGCTCCGCAATATATGTGAGAAAATGAGAGCGCTATGGTTTGTCAGAAATAGCAACAGTAATGGGGGGGGGGGGGGTCTCACTGTCCTGGCTTGTCCAAGCTTTATAATGGCAGTGATTGGTGGTTGAGATTTTTAAGCCCAAAAAAGTGCATCCATCCATCATAAAGAGTGCTCCACGTGGCTCCGGGTGGTTAATAAAGGCCTCCTGAAGCGAATTAATGCATTTGTATAAGAAAAATATCCATATTTAAAACTTTATCAACGGCACTCTCTAGCTTCCGCTAACTGTCATATGCACGTTCACGAGAGAGTGGCGTTCCAGCGGATAATGTTCCAACTTGCGGCCATTGTTAGCTAATGGTGCTCTTGGGAAACACACCCCTGGTTGACTTTTTAAGCAGCTGGATTTAAGAATTTGATCAAACTGGCAAATAAATCCCATAGACTTGCACTGAAGGCCATACAGCCCAGAATATTAGAAACTTTAAAGTGAGGCTTTTGACTGTAAGAAAGCAGCTCAGCAACTGCATAGAAACCTCTAGCAGCCATCCTGACGGTGCATTTTAGCCACACCATCATGATACAGATGGCCAAGGATGCAACTTCTTTTGCCTTTTTCTTAGATATTAACCATCATTCCTGTTAATGATGAAGAATATGGTGCTTTTATTTTCTGTAATTAGTTTAAATATGAGTAGCACTCAGTCACTGTAACAGAAGTCGCTGCCATGTGACAGAGAGTCTAATTGGCAAGCAAGACATGTGTAATATTACTTAAATCTGTTATGCCACTCACACGCTAATCAATTCATTAAATTATAATCCCAGTGCACTTTCCTGATCACTGGAGTGATGTGCTCTCATATCACTGTTCAGTCTGAATATGATAATGCATTATGTGAACCGTTCACCTGAAATTAGACTCCCCGTGTTATCTCTAATGCACACTAAACCTGAAGAGCCGTGCTTGTGTAATGCTTAAAAAACAATGTATTAAGATTAATGTTGTTGGATGTAATGATTACTGAGGACATTTATTCTCATCTGCTCCTGAGAGATTAAAGTTTTTTTATGGCAAGTTTTTGTACCGCACATTTTTAATTGGATGTATTATGCATAATTAAATATATGCTGAGATGCTTGTTAGGTAGCAAGAGATCAAGCAAATCATTCCAAACTTTGTGCTAACACAGTGCAACTAGTTTTATTCTTAGGCTTTTAAGCACAACTTTTATAAAAATGTTTGTTCTGCTTTAAAACAGACGCATTTGCACTTCAATCATTAAGTCTTTTCACTGCCTCTGAGATTGTCATTTCTAACATGTCATGGCTTTGATATGACACAATATAGTCTAAATGTCAATACCACTGTATGCTGTGAATATGACATAGATTGATTCTTGTTGTTACGGAGATGGCAGCTATATTGCAGATGCAAATAAAGCATTGTGGCCTATGTAGGTGTTGTGAGCAGCGTTATTGTGCTTTAGATGATTGCAAAACTCAGAGCGGCTGTTTTCTCCACTGATGTTTCCTCCGAGTTTGTCTAGACAACATTTTCTTGTTATGCCTCTTTGTGTCACATTTGTGCTACTGCAAAAACACTCAGATACAGATGAGTCACACTTCAAATTTTTTTATTTTTTTATTATTTTTTTTTTGGTTAACGCTTTACTAAAAGGTTCCATGTGTTAACATTAATTAAAAGAACAATTTCTCTACAATTAATCCAAAATGCCGCTGCAAGATTAATCTTTAATGAGCCGAAAAGAATGCACGTCACACCTCTGTTCATCAATCTGCAGTGGCTACCAGTAGCTGCTCGCATTAAAATCAAGGCATTAATGTTTGCCTACAAAACC